CCGTCAGGAGTTTCATTCTCAACTTGCACTGAGGAGAAGCAGCTTTATCACAATCATCCTCAGATGTTTCACAGATGAGTAACATAGACCAGCTGTTGAACAAACACCAGGAAAGCAGCACTGGGCCTTGCAAAAAAATAATTCTGATAAGGGCTGATGTGAGCAAACAAGTGATGACTACAAGGACACCTGCAGGTACATCCTGATGAAGAAATGGGGGCAGGAAGGGACAATGATAACCACATGGCCTGCCATCCCTGTGCCACTCTGTGCGGCCCTTTGCAACTCCACTCTGGAGCAAGAGTAGAAAGTTCACCTGTATCTCTTCTTGTAGTAAAATAAGGTAGGGCCAGTTGCATCGGAGCTAACCCTAAGAACGGTCACTTGCCAAGCCCCATCTCTTTCAACTCTCCAGGCTGTGGCTCAATGATTGTGCCATAACCTGCCCCCTCTAGGACAATACACTTCCCTTCCCCACATCCTTCTCCATCTATGGACATCCTCCACATCTGATTATGATCCATCTCGAATGGTAACTTTCTGGTGAAGACGCTTCTTACACTTTAGAGCAGATTAGTGTTTTTTTTTTCTATAGAATTTTTTTCCTATGAATTTCTCTTACAGAAGTTTGTAACTTCTGTGACATTTAATATTGTAATTCATTTTACCTGCATATTAAAAAACAGTGTTAGTTATTAGCATGCATACCTCATTTATATTCACGTCGCAGATCCTAGCACAGTGTGTGCTCTCTAATACTTGTGGTTGCTTCCCAGTGCCACTGAGTGCACTGCTCTCCCTGACTCCCTGGCAGCCTCCACTGAGAGGACACAAGTCGTTACTGATGACCCTTCCTGCTGGCCAGCAGATTAGCACAATCTGGGTCCCTTGCATGTTCTCAAGACTTCTCAGAGCAATGTCCCCATCATCTTCTTCGGGATTCTTAGAGAGTGAGGCTTGAGTTCAATGGAGCTGAGTTTGTTGAAGGGGAGAAGAGAGGAACTGCTTTGCTAATAACATAAAAACCATGAGACAACAGTGTTTTGGATTTGGAAAACTGTTATTATCAGGCTCAAATGACTCCTTATGGCTATGAGGTCATTTACAACCTGGCTCCTGCTGATGCCTCTGGTTTTCTCACTCACACTTCTTTTCACAGGCTTCATTTAATCTCTGCTGAACTACCTGAAGATCCACAAATTCACCATGATTTCTCATGCACACATTGAGTTCCCATAAACCTTGCTACTAAACAGATATCTCCATCTCTCACATGAGAAAACTGAAACTCATGGACACTGATTGGTTGAGCCAAGGCAACATAGTAGAAGACCCAGAATTTGATCTGTTTCTCTGTTTCTTTGAAATTTTGAAGAAGAGGTTTCAAGTAGACATTTGGATGTTGAGGTCTGGAGTTCAGAATAAAAAGGGCTTGCACTGGATAGATCTACTTGCAGATTGTTCTTGCCTGAGATCAAGGAGAGACTGCAGACAGGAAGAAGGGTGTACATGTAGGGCCATGCTCCCTTCCCTCTATACTAAGACATTTCTCCAAAATAATAGAAATATTCAGGTTATTCACATGGCTGAAAATGTTAGAAACTGGCAGGAACAGCTTATAAGTAATACAATACTCCCAGGATTACTGTGTCTCTACTCATTTTGTAATAATTGTTATATAGTCACCAAGACAATTTAGGAATAAAATCTTGTTAATTAAGCTTTTATGTCAAAGATCACAATCTTTATTACATCCAATGCACTTGAGGCACTTACCAATAATGTAGTTTTCCGGGACACACACTTTAAAAGTATGACTTTAGTAAATGTAAATAAGGCCTAAAAATCAACATTTTAAGAACTGTGAAAAATAGTTTTCCATTATTTTTTATTGTGCAAAACATCGAATACCACCAAAGTTAACCTTTCTGAATATAAGTATTTTTGATAGTAAAATCTTTTATTAAGTTCGTGTTGTTAGTACTTTATATGATTAGACTGAAATAAAAGGTGATGATATTATATTGACAGGATTTCTCATAGAATTGGGCATTTCTCTTATATTTACTTCTAATCAATATCCCTGAATATATGCAGACTGTTTACTGGGTGTTCTTCTCACTAATTCTAAGTCCAAAATTTCATGACACATAATACATAAACGTGACTGCTTGCATGTGCAGTTGCAGAAGTTAGTCATCAGCTTCTCATAGTACCATGTTGATTATATCAAGGAATTTTGATGATGTTTGCAGTTGTTTGTGCTGTAAAACCTCCCAACAAACAGAAACATGTTTCAAGAACCTGTTGCCAGGCTTCTCGTTGTAACTGTGTCATAACTGCCAAAAGATATATACTACTCACTGATGACAACCACAAAGTTATTCTTGAAATCCTCAATAATAAAAAAATAAAAATAAATCACTGTTTGAGATCAAGTGATGAGGAACTGAATGCAACTAATACTAATTATTTTTCAAAAGTTGGGATGAAAGAGAGCTTCCATGGACATGGAGACTAGAAACATGCTATGAGAGCTAAGGTGGCAGAATTTCTGGAAACTGGCCCTTTCATTTAATTTAACTTAAAATATTTATTGGGCATGTATGGGGTCCCAAGAAATGCCAAGGAAGCTCAGGGAAGAAGACATATTTTCCAACTTTAAAAAGCTTTTAACTTTTCGAGAAGCCTGTTCATAATATCTACAGTACAAATCATACTATCATAAATGGTAGTTCCTATGGCCACACCCTAAGCCTTGAGAAATTGTTCCACTTCTAACAATTCAAGTCTAATACAAAAGTTGAAGACCACAACCTTGGCTCCTTGCATAAATCTCATTCTTTTGCTTCAAACACACATGTCCTTGACCTCATTCAGACCTCTGGACCCTTATATCCTACATTTCTTCAGAATTAATTGTTTACAGTATATGTTGCTCACTTTTCTCATGTCTAGAACATATTCCACAGTCTATGTCTTTGAATACTCTTGTTAATACCCATTTTCATGTTATTCTAGGTATGTCTGGAATTCACTAACCATCATCTATTTTCAAAATTTGGGGCTTTATCCTCTTAGAACTTTCAGTAAAGTTTGAAACAAACACCTTCCCTTCTCGAAATGCCATATGGCTTTCATTTTTTTATTAATTAAAATATTTATACAACACTACCCTGTGCTAGGATTTGGGAACATAATTTTTTGATTTTAAAAATATGGTTCCTATTTTCAAGAACAAAACAGTCTAATGGTGAGGACAGAGAAGAATAACAACACAGTATCACATGAACTCGCAACTATAATAATCGCAAAAAAAAAGATGTACAAGAACCCTGACTTTTTACTCCATTTTCCTAAAAGCAATTGAAAATTTCTTAAGGGAGATAATATGTTTAGGTGTGCTCTTGGAAACACTTTTTCCAGCAGTAATGTAGTAAACAGATTAGAGACTGTCCAGAGAGATATAGGTTTTTTAGGAAGTTACAGCAGCAATCCAGGTGAGGCACAATAAACACTTGGCTAAGATAGTGGTCATCTGTTGGAGAAAAGGAAATGAAATTGAGAGAGATTTTCCAAATGTGAAATTTATAGAGCTTGTGATGGGTTGGAAACCGAAAGGGAAGAAAAAATGTAAAAATAATTTCTCTTGGGGTTGTGTCTTGCACAACTAGATAGATGGGTAGTCTTATTACTTGGTCAAAGTGAAAGAAGTCTTTCTGAAAAGGAGAACATGAATTTTCAGCATGTTGAGTTTGAAGCGTATTTGAAATTTTGAAGAAGAGATTTCAAGTAGACATTTGGATGTGGAGGTCTGGAGTTCAGAATAAAAAGGGCTTGCACTGGATAGATCTACTTACAGGTCGTTCTTGCACGAGACCAAGGAGAGACTGCAGACAAGAGAAGAGGGTATAGATGCCGGGCATGCCTACAAGGGAACAGCGCATCTAATGAGTGCTAGAGAAGAATATGGCTGCAGAGAAACAGAATAGTAAGAGCCAGGTTATTAGGAAAGAAATCAGGAGAATGTTTTACTCTTCTTATTTTCCTCATGTCTTCAGTATAGTTTTGGAAGCTTTTCATGTCAACATTCTTCATTTGATTTAGATTACATTGGTCCAAACTGGTTCTACCACTTCTTGGAAGGACTTTTTTCTGGCTGTCTTTTTTTTTCTTGCTGACTTTTCTCTCCCTCTCCCAAACAAATGTAAGTATGCAAATTGCCTCTTCAGATATTTTCATGTCTTTCTCTTCATGCTCCCCTAAGTGATTTCCTCCACTTTGCAATTTCAATGTCACCTTCAAACTGACAACTTTCACATACATAACTCCAATCCCATCTCTATATTTGTCTTCAAGTGGACATTTAGTATTAACTCATTTCTCAAAGGCCAATATGAAGCCTAAAATATCTTCACATGTTGTTGTATAGTAAAGGCCTGCTAATGATAAATACAGAGATGGATGAGAAGAATGCAAAATCAGACATACAATTTCTTTTCCAATATACAGATTTTTGTAAATTATTCCAGAAAAGTTCTATGCATATATAAAAATCTATGTAGACAAAATATATTTTTACACAAAGTATATGCACACTGTTTTACATTGTGGTATTAAATTTACTGTAATTTGTACTGCTTTCCAGACAAGTATATTAGGATCTGTCTCACTTTTTGATTCCACTATACAAACGTGCCCTAACTGATTTAATAGATTCTTCTCTGACAGACATTTAGATTAGCATTTTTCACTAGTATAACAATAGTAAAAACTTTTCCTTTCATGTTCATATTTAATTAGTTGTATCTGATATATCTGGGGCTAAATTGAGAGAATAGAAATTGTTATATCAAAGTGTGTGCATACTTAACGTTTTTGGTAGCTATTGTGAAATTGCCTTCCCAAAACATTGCACCAACTTTCACATCCACATTTAGGCAAAATGATGATTTCCTATTTTCCTACTTCCTCCACAGCAATGGGTGTTATCTATGGGTGTTTTTATTATCAAACGCTAATCTAATGTGTGAAATATTTTAACCTGTATTTGTTGTATTTAGGTATATATCTAATTCTGACTAAGGTTGGGCATCTTTTCTTCCGTTTATTAACTATTCTACGTCTTTTCAAGTAAAAGATCTCTTTAAGTCATTTGGCTATTTATATCTTTCTGACTTTTTTTTACAGATGCAAGAGCTCATTACATATTATGGGAATGGAACTTTGTTACACATGTAAGAAAATCTTTTTTCTAACTTACCATCTTTCCCCGCCCTTTGGTTATACTTGTTTGCTATGTACACATTTTGATTCTTATTCTTCTAAAATTCATTAATTCTTTATTTGTTCTGGATTTAGGTAGACATTCTCAACTTCCAAGTACTTACATTTTTACTCAGTTCTTTTCTTCTGTGATGAGCTTCCTTTACATTTAAATCTTTTCTCCATCTAAATTTGTTTTCTGACATTAGCAGTATGTTAATTTTGTTCTAAATATCTAGCAACATGCTCAACACCGTCTTTTGAATTATGTACAGTTTTCTCACTGACCTGAAAATCCACCTGTATTTCAGACTAGCATTCTTTTCTTAACTGTATATTAAATCTGTTCTGTATTCTTTAACCTATGTCATTGATCTTTTGATTCCTTTTCCATTAACAAAGTGTGTTCATTACTGTGGCATTAAGTTTAAACCTTGTCAGGTTAGACTTCACTTATTACTATATTTTTCACATATTAGAATTTTAGTTTCTATTTTTGATTACTTGTTATTCCATGTGAATATAAAATTATTTTATCAAGTTCTGTAGAAAGGAATGTGAAGAGTTTCTGTATCATATTGGGTCTTTCTGTATAAAAACAGACTATAACTTCCTATTTATTTATGTCTTCTTTATGTCCCTCAGCAAAGCTTAAATGTTGTAGAATGTAGGTTCTCCACATTTCTTCTCTGCTTCATTATGAAATAGCTTACATGCTACTGTAAACTGTTTTATTATAAATCTTTTATTATATTCCCTAACTAATAAGGCTATAGATTATTGAATTATGTTTATAAATTAGGTATTCAGCTGCCTTAATAAAATTTTGTGTCATTGATTTACTTAATTCTCTTAGAATTCTTATGGTGAAAGATACATGACCTCTGAATAGTCATAATTTGAAATATCTCCAACATTTATATTTGGTTATATTTACAGAAAAACATTAAGCAATATAATGGTGAAATTATATTTTTTATTTTAATAAAATGTGTTTACCATTTCACAGTAAGCATAATGATAGATTTTTATATGATACATAATTTTTATCTAGTTAATAACCATTCTGCTGCTTATATTTTATTTTCAATTAAAAATAGATAATAAACTATTTCAAACCTTTATAAAAAAACCTAGAGCAGCTATTTGAAAATTTGAGTTGTTATAAGAGTTAAATATTGTAATTAAACTTTCTAACATTGAACCACCTTACATGCCTAGAGACAGTTTCAATTGGTCTCCAAGTTCATCTTTCTCTCCCTAGTGTCTCTTCATGACAAAGTATCCATCACAAATTCTTTAAACACAACTGTGACTAGGTCAATAGCTTGCTCTGAACCTCACCATGGTTATCTGTCTGCCATAGAATACCATCCAAATTCCTCAGGAGGGCATTCAAAGTCCTCCACATTGTGTTAACTCATCAGCGCTGATACTTCTCACAAACCATACACTTAGGTCCAATCTGACTCTTTTTTGGTCTGAAAAAAACCACATTTCTCTGCCTTCTTTTTATCTATATCTTCATTTGTTGTGAATGTAGTCATCCTGAAAATTTCAAAATCTACTTATTCCATGAATTGTTGTCCAATGTTTTAATGTGGAAATTATTTCCCTTTTGCAGGGCTCATAAAGCACAATAGGCCTTTCCTATAGCACATACATCAGTGTGCCTTGTAGTAGAGAACTCATTCCTCCTTTGAGATGCAATCAAGAATACAATATTTGTAAAAAGAGAATCTTCTATTACATATTTTCAACTCTCTTGTCCACTAGCACAATCCCTAGTAGGGCTCAAAAAATGTTGGTGGAATTTAATTTTTAAAAACACAGTCAACAGCAGTTCCTGAAAATGATAAAGTAAACTTTTTATTTCTCTTAAAGATTTTGTTTTCAGAGAGATGGGAAGAGAAAGAGAAACAGAGGGAGAGAAATATCAATGCCTCTCTCATGGCCCCTACTGGGGACCTGGCCCACAACCCAGGCAAGTGCCCTCAGTGGGAGTTAAACCAGTGACTTTTTGGTTAGTAGGCCCATGCTCAATCCATTGAGCCACACCAACCAGGGCTAAACTTTTTTATTTCTTTATAAACTATATATATATATATATATATATATATATATATATATATATATCCTTCAAGGAAAAATACTCTAGACAGATATTTATCAATATCTAAAACTTATTGATAATAACATCATCAAAAGCAGACCCTTAGAAAATAAAAGTCAAAGGCAAAAAATCTTTAGACTGTAGAGGAGATTGCATTTTGTTTCTACCAGATATAGTAAATAATCTGAGGATATAGAAGCTGAAATATAAAGATATTTTGACCTGTGAAAAAATATGGAGTTATTAAGGTTTCTTGAGAAGAGGCACAGTAAGGAAAGCAATGTTTCAGAAACACTACTCTGGACAATGAACACAAAACGGATTTGGAGGGAAGAGTGACCGGTGCAGTTAGTAGTGCGGCACCAGGAGGAGAGAACACGAGCTGATTTATAGCAGCAGAAACGGAGACAGAAAGGCAAAGCTGAGACAAAATGATACAAAATTTGACAGTATAATGTGGGTTGATTTAGGTAAGCAACAAAGAAAAGAAGAAATTATGCATTTTAGAAGTTAATTTTATCATGTCATAAAGGTGTAACCTTCAGCAGTAGAGTAAGTCCTCACTTAACATCATTGATAGGTTCTGCAACCTTGAGGGAGATGATGTATAACAAAATCAACTTCACCATAGGCAACTTATAAGACAGTAGTTAAGTTTCTATAGCATTTCATCACCACTAACGAAATGACACTGAAATGAGCTTATTGTGTTGACCTTATTTGAGGACCTGCTGTATAAGATTTATTGAATGTCTCCTCCAACAACACTGGACTAAGGGTTCCCAAAGCACACTATGCATGCTTCCAGTTAGCAAGTTGGGAAAAAATCTGTTGTCTTTCTTATTTAGCTGAACTGAAGCCACTTGAGGGTGAGGACCAGGACATATCCACATTTATAACTCTGTCCCTAGCATAGTGCAAGGCACAAAGTAGGCCAAAGGAAACAATATTGTAGAACTGAAATGATGCTAATTTATTTTAAGTAATAAGAAGAACTTAACTTGCACTTGCAACTTAAAGAGTACACTTGGGGGTTAGCATATACATGTAGATGCGTGCGCAGGAAAGTCTTCCAGAGGGAGTTGTACTACTTCTATCCCAGTACACTTGTGCTACAGTGTTACCTCTTTAAGGGCAGAGTTCAAAATTCTTCTGAATGTTCCACTGTATCTATCACAGTAAATCAGGGGATGCTCAATTAGAATATTTTTTATTTTTAAGAGAATGCATAATAATGTTAGTCTTTTTCCTTACTCTTATTTTATCATTAAATAGTTAAGTATTAAAAGAGACTCCAATGTTCTTTATTCATAAGTGAGATATTCCTCATATGTGAATATTCTTTTTATGTAGAGAAAATGACCTCAAGATGTGATGCATTTAAACTCTTATTCTAGAGATGATTAGAGAAAAATAAAATTAATATTTTTCTTAAATCTGGTTTAAAAAGAAGAGTTAAACTGCAGGTTATTCTACTCAATTGTATATACAAAGTCTCTCTGAAAATAGGAAACTAAAACTATGGTAAATTTGATTATGAAAATCTATCTTTTCCTCAGTGATTAATTGCTTTAATTTTAGTGGTTACTTTCAGTCATCATGATTTCTATTCACATTCTTTAACTCAATCTTGTAGGTTCTTCTATTTCTGTTTATATTTTTCTTAACATATGTCCCTCGAATCTTTTCTATTTTTAAGATTTATGTTTATGTTTCACTTATGTTTAAACAAATTGTAGAACTAGGTTAGATTAGACAAATACATGAACAGAGGTTTACATATAGCATAAGTGCATACCCATGGAAATACGTGATCCATGCAATGGGTGCTGTGTAAATAAAGAGGGATGGAATTGCCAGTTACTTTTATTTGGCTCAAAAAATTCAAGATCAGTAGAATCCTTCACCTTCAGTGAAAGACGCTGATTATTTTGTATTTAAAGATGCCGTGACAGCATCTCAAGCTGTTAGCAAATGCAGAAATGGAGACACTTGAGATGACATTCAAGAGTTTGCACTGCCTTTTGATGCTCGTGAGAAAATCTGTTAGTTTTCCAGGGAAATTCCAAAGCGAAAATCACTCCAAATTTCATAAAATGTCCATGAAATGAGCACTGTTGGTATGTACATAGAGGCACACTTAAAAAACAAAATTCAAATAAAAACAGGGTGCCATGAGTCCAGATCAAAGAAGCAAACTTGAGTAGACCAAGTATGTGACAGTGTAGTGTGAACTCACAGATAATGTGGCTGGAAAATGTGAACAAGGAAAAGATAAAGATCTGTGTTTTAAAGTATCTTATTCCCTTAGCATTAGAGAATAGGATCAATAAAGAGTCAGGAAGGAGGACTGGACCAACCGAGATAATAGGACCACACAAAGAAAAGGGAACCAGGAGGTGCTGAGGGAAAACTGGAGCGAAGCTAGGTGCCCTTTGTAGAGAAAAGGAGTTGAGTGTATGAAGAACAGAAAGAGTTGGGACAAAAATGTTAGAAAATTAAATCATTCTGCAATATAGTAACTGCAGGCCACATGTAGTTATTCAGATTTAAATGAACTAAAATGAAATAAAGTTAAAAATTCATTCCCTCAGTCATGGCAGCCACTGTTGAATGCTCAGTAGGGTTAGTGGCTAACCTCATATTGGAGAGCACCGGGAGAGAACATTTCCACACCTCAGAGACTACTATGCGTTAGCACAGTACTAAGGACACTAAAATGAGTGGGAAGGAGAACACAGCAGAAGAAGAGGTGAAGGAGGAGGGGTGGTGCTTCAGAATCCCCCTGTCCCATTCATGCTTAATTCCTCATGTGACCAGTCAAGACAGCAGCTGCTCTGCAACAGCAGGGTCAGCCACACCCCCTCTCACAAAGGTGCTCAGAGGTTGCTGCTTTACCCACACTCAGGGTGTTGGGATCTTTGGAGCAGGGCATTGAGTCAGGGGTGGAGCCAAGGCTGGTGGTGGATGAAGAGGGCCTGTGCAGCCCCTGGTGCCATGCCCAGAATTCAAGGTCGGTAAAGCACTCACTTGGCTCTCAAAACCTGCAAGAGTAGGTTCCTTCACCTCTGGTGTCCAGTGAGTCTTCAGTCACTCATGGGCATGCAGTCCTCCTGCTCATATATTGCTCAGCCTAAGGCAGAGGGTGGCACTCACTTTTATCTTATTCCACTATGAAGAAATTCATAGAAATTTGTTCTGACCACCACCTTTTATTTTACTTATTCATATCAACCAATTCTAAGCATTCATATTCACTGCAAGTAAATGTAGGCAGCCTATCTCTTCCCTCTAAGCTCCATGAGGACTAGCATGACTACTCAAACCTCTGTGGAGTAACCTTTGTCACACATCTGCAGTGAATTGACAGCATTCTGTACAAGCTCTAGCCCTTAGATTATCCTTCCTTTTTAGAACATTTTTTAGTATTTTTTTTTGCTCAAAATCAACTTCTTATATAATCCAATAGGTCTTTTGTTCCAGACCCTTATTTCAAATCCCATAGACTTCCTACCACACACAATATTTATACCTGACATTAGGAGGTGAAGAGAACATATCCCAAGAACACTGTCAAATGCTGCCTGCCTTGTGGGAGTCACTATTTATTTCACAAACTCAGGGCTGCTCAGTTCCCCATTTGCATGTGTGGGCAGCCGTCTCTTCAGTGCTTCCCCATCTTCTAATTGGCACACTATCCTGATCCTTGGCTCTGTGCTTGGGAATCGTCACTGACTTTTAACCCACCTCACCTGAAGAGCAGCTTCTGTGTGTCTATTAGTATTTCAGGCACAGATTCTCATCTTAAAAATTATCAACAGGATTTTAATTGGAGGTTTTGATTGCTTACTTTTAATGTGATTTAGTGATATTTTAGTATGTTTTACCTTACTTGAAAAAGGCAAAACTTGAAAGAAAGAAAAATTGTTGGGGACAGAAGATAATCATTTAGAGCTAAAAACAGAGACTTCCCTGGACTTAGGCTGGTCTCTTAAAAGCAGAGGACCTTATGATTGTAAGTATCAGTGTTTCGCTTACATGAACAGATGTTTTTTAAAAATTTTTTTCACTGTTAACAGTAGCAGATTTTCTGTCTCATAAAGAACAACTTTGAAAATGACTGGATATTTCCTAACATCAATTGAAATGGAAAGTTTATAGTTTTCTACTGTGTCCTGTTTGCTTATGAGCATGGGCCAGATAATCCTCTTGGAATATTGTAAACTCACATCCAGACTCCACTTGCCTTTTAATATGGGAAGAACCTAAACAACCTGTGAATAGAGCTTACTGTGAGAAGCCCCTATCAATTCCAGCATTCTCTATACTCCTGACCATTTAAATGCCTGCCACTGAAAACCTTCAGTAAAAGAATGAATATGCCAGTAGCTACAGAGAGCTGCCTTCAGCCTGAAGAAGGGTGTGTCCCTATCTTTTAGCTGGAAGCGAGGATGATCTCGTCAAGCATCTTCATGAGACTAGCCCAAGTTTTTAGGGTGGGGATCTAGACTAGTTATACTTACCTTCAGTCTTTCTCCCTGCAAAGGCAGAAACACCTCGAAGCCTGCATGTAGAACATCTACTGAGAAGTTGCTTTAATCAGATATCAGCTGATTGGGGGAAAGAAAAAGAACAGAGAACGGACAGCACTCCCCTGGTCTTGGATGTAAGAGCACCCAGCAGCGATGGACTGGCGCTTTGGGACAGCTGCAGTGCTGTTCATTGTTCTGGTGAGTGGATTCTGTTAAAAACCCTGCATGATCACTCTCGTTGTCAACAACTGAGAACTTCTTGGAAAATGTTATTTAGCGTTATTTCTAATATAAACCCATTACAATTTATGTTGATGACAATGTGATTTTATGAACTAGATTTTTAGTGTTTCTCTTTAATTAAAGACTTGAGATCATACTAATGCATCAGTGTCAGTTCATCAGGTGACGCCTGTGACATCAAAGTCTTTGCTATGTCATTCTGAGAAAATATAAAATTTGGGGGAGCATTTCACTCTTTAATAGCACTTTGTTGTTCAAATTCTCTTTTGCAGTTGGGCCTTTAATGTAATAAAATAGGTGTGTCCTGATTTTTAACTTAGACATTTTTATACTCTTTTGGTATCTTTGCTGGTAGATCTACTACAGTTTTTAAAACATAAGAATAGGATCCATATAAACTAAAATCAGCAATTTGTGACTGGCCTCACTATCAAGAAAGCCTCATTGGTTCTATATGTGCCTGAGATCCCCATCACTAATATGGACAGTCCCACATTGCTAAACTCTGAATTTATTCAAAACGGTCTTTTTATTTCAAAAAAGTGGTGGTATGGTAGGTTTATAAATGACATAGTAAGTGAAAGAATAGCCATAATTAAGAAGTGTAATTATTACAATACTGGTTCTTATTAATAGAAAATCAGTTATGACTATGATATACAAGTTGCACAGTAATTATCAGACATATGTAATAAAAAGTCATATCATTTTCCCCCTTTCACATGATCAGTTTTCTCTTTTGAAAGTTAATACTGAGTGCAGCACCTGTGTGTTGCATCAGTTTCACTCATACCACAAGTTTCTGAACCGCAGTCTCCCGAACAGTAAAGTTAGTGTGATCCAAAGAAGCAAGTGCCAGTTAAATTGTGATCCAATCTGACAGGATGCATGTAGTGCTGTGGTTCACATTTGTTTCTACTTGCTTAAGTTTTAACTGGATTGTTGGGTTTCTACAATAACAAGTTAGATCTTTGACTCAAGATTAGTTTTAATTCAGCTTATTAATTAAGACACATCATAACCAGTGGATTTAGTTATAAATGAGCATTGATAAGCTGGCAACTTTAGTTCTATGTTGCCCTTTAAACATGAGCTCTAGTCTGTGACTTTCTAATGGAGCTTTAGGATCAGTTGATATCATAACTTGGGATGTGGCAGGGATTAATGAGCATCATGCAGCTTGTCTTTTGAATAGAGGAGCATGTGTATATTGTGAAATGAAAACATACTTTTATTTATTTTTAAAAATTTTTTTAAAATATATTTTATTGATTATGCCATTAAAGTTCTATTTCCCCCTTCATTAAATTTGATCTATTTAGGCCTATAATAGTTACAGTTGAATAAATAAATAAATTTATTTATTCAGATGCTTATGTACATTCATAAGCCTATAAGATACCCTATTTGATTATATTTATGATCATTTTTATTTGCATCCTATACAACTTCTTTAAACAGCCATTTTCCAATTAGTCATTCTTTAGTAAGATGTATCATTTTATCAAAATCCTGTATCCTTAGTGAACTTTCTCTCTTCATACACAGGTGTCTGGGCATTTGTACTATATTTTCTGAGTCTGGATAGGTTTCTTTTGTGTGAATTGTTTGTTTATTTCTCTTTGCCATATTTTACTTTAGAATGAATCACAAGTTTCTCATATGCCTTATGAAAATTATTTCTCAAAGAACTTTTCTATTATCAATTCAAATATTTCATTTTTATATTATTATAACACTTTTGTAAAACATTTCACTCTCTAAGGTTTGGAAAACCATAATTTATTTTCACTAATGATTTAACCATTTGGGATAAATGTTTTTTGGAGTGGTGTATTCTATTTTTGCTTCAAAATACTTTTATTCCCCTGAAAGATAACCACCACTATAGAAGACTCTCACTTACCTTTCTGCTACTCTCACTGTGAATGTTTGCTTTTATAAAAAAAAAGAGAGAGAGAGAGAGAGAAAAATTCATGTAAAACCTTTATATTCTTCTCTTCTCGAAGTTGATAAATAAAAAACTACAGTAGGGAGCATAGTTGGACAATTTTGAATACCTTTAAGACATTTAAACTGGTAATACCTTTAATGCCAATCCATTTATTTGAGAGCTGGCAGTCATCTATTGCAAATATGTTGTGTAGTCTGCTCAATATCCTAAAGGTATAAACCTTGTTCAAATTAGTGGGTTAGAGCTTGGAGAATAAAAATGAAGAAGCAGCTTTTACAGTGGCCCATATTGTCACAGAATTATCCCATTTAGACAAGTCTTTGGAAAAAATAGCTTATACCTGTTATAACATAGCAAGACAAATAAATGTTATTTGATCTGCATTAATTTTTGCACTTTTTTGTTTCCATAAAATTAGTGTATGGGGGACTATTATAAGCTAGGGAACAATGCTACTTATGCACCAAGTACAAGAAGTCTCTGTGAATGTTTGTGACAATGGTGTGAGGCATGTCATTGTCACTGCGCGTAAGTGAAAGTGGAACCAGTAGACTTTTTATAGTTCTAATGATTTCTAAAACTTATTTGTAACTTTGTCAGTTCCAATGAGTAAAATCAACATACTTTCAAGGTACTTTTTCTAGAGAGCAAACTTCTGCAGCAAAGAACTCAAATAGATTTATCTTTATCTAGTACCAAAGGTGATCCAATTTCTTTAGTGCATCATATCAGCCTAGCTTCTTCTATTTTCATGGTTAATATTTTCTTTCTCAAAAAGGCCTGTGACCACCTGATAAACTAAGTCCACACTTTGAACTTAGCTGAAATTATTTATTATTTAAGCAGAAGTTTATTAGAGTATTCTCAGCACTTGGATAAAAATACACAAAAATAATACAGGTGCAGGCAAAAGTAGGTTTACAGTCATGAATAAGTTAAGCACAGAGTTTATTCTTGTATTATTAATTATTAATTCTTGTATTATTTATTTGTATTAAAATGGTAAAAATACTTGTTATCACCCCCGTATACACTTTATTACATACTTCATCAACTTATTTGAAATGGACATCTTAAATTTTCATATTTGTGTTCACTGATGATGGAAGAAAGAATTAACAAACAACTAATGATTTCTGGGGCACATACTATAATGATATATAAATAAATATTAGTATTTCAGTAAATATTTTATAAAAATGGAAACAGTATTTCTTCACCTGTTCAGTAAAATTTATAAATTGTAGTTAAGCAAAATCATTTCCATTTACATGGGGCTTTTAACTGTAGATTTCACGGCACAGTTAAGACCAGCATCTTCTACAAATTTCATGAAAATGGACAATACACATTTATCATCATTTAATTGGTTTCCATTGCCACTGAGTAAAACACTTTGTTATGCCTGAACTAGGCTTTAAAACAGCCCCAAGCACCAAAAATCACTGCCTTGATAGATCTGAAGACTTGGCCCCAAAGGGACAAGACACACCTATATAACAAGGCTCATGTATCCAGAAAAACAACACTCTTGTCTATACCCAGAGCACTGAACCTCTGATGATTCTTCACCATGCATTCTTCAAGGAAATTGTTGCTGAATGCTCCCATGTCCTAACAGTTATCACCTAATGTGCAAGCAGGAGGTGTGCTTGGCAATGCAATGAGATTCACTTTGTTCCCACCAGTGAGGGAGCACCCATACAGCATGCTGGGTCATCCACTCTTGCTGACAATGTTTGGCATGCAGTTTCCTTTAACAGACTTGGGTGGGTCAAAATCATTTAAATACTGTTGGCTGCTGATCGTGCCCTCCACTGGTCTGTGAGAATAGAGCTCAGTCCTTTACACTTGTCCAATGAAAAACCACATCCCCACAAATTAATGGCTGCCTGTTGCTCATAAAACTACTTGACTATAAGTTATTGGAGGGCAGGTTCTGTCTTATTTGCATTTGTATTTTTCATAGCACATTGCACCAATGCAAGATTACTCAGTAGGTACCTAATCACACAACATGGAGGCATCAGAAGGGAATTTTTGTAAAGTTTATATTTTCCCTCCCCTACACACTCTAAAAATTGTCAAGGTGTTAAACAGGAAAATAATCATGTTGAGTTTCCCTAACACTTATTTTTATGATATAGTATTACACTAACTTTACATGTCACCTAAGGCTTAGTCATTTAAAGGTTTTATTACAGCCTTGGATCTACATATATACATCAATATATAATTGTCAAATAAATAAACCAATGAACAAACAAGAGAAGTCAACCTATCAAGAAGTAAACTGCAGACTGCTAGCTTTTATGCAAGTAATAAAGAGGAAATACAAAAGAGGTTCTTTAAGAGAAGCAATGTTTTATATTTAGCCTTGTCTCAAGTTCATTCTTGTGATGTCTATAACACTTAAATACATTAGAAAGGGATACTTCACAAAAAAAGTCAAGACCATTATTGTTACAGTAAAGAAATGTAAAACTCAATATTAAAAGAAAAGAACTAAAAATAATATAATTATTGATTCATTGAAATTAGCATTTGATCCTGTATCCTGTGGTTGTTGGGTTTTGCTTTTAGAAATGTATATATGTGGATTAGCTTCTAAAATATAGATGATGGCAATTGTCTTTGTTTGTTCACTTCAAGTGATTATTCAGTGCTATCCAAATTTTAGCACTAAAAGTGGTTTTAGTCTCATGTACAAAAGAGGACAGAGTACTTAACCCAATGCCCATAGCCAGGGAGCAAGAGATTGAGAAGTACTTACTGTGCTTAACTACTCTCCTATTTATCTCTAATAAATCTCATTGATGGCATCCACAGAGTGTATTCCCAAATTATTTTGGAATCAACATTGCTCCCCTAAATACCAGAAAACAATTTTACCCTTACTCAAGTTCTGGATCATGCAGTGCAATGACCTTCGATTTCCCTGTCCTAATTGATTGATTTTAATCTCCATCCTTTCACTCTTCCTTACCCTCTGTCTTCAAAGCCCTTTCTCTCTGCTGCTTCACTCCTACTCATCACATACCTCCAGCAAGTACTTTCTCAACCTCTCCTGTATCCAATCAAAATCTCCTTTCTCCTCCTTCTCTGCCTTCAAAATCCACACCTCCTTCTCCCCAAATATCTCCTTGTATACTCTATCTGATTCTACTATCACTTCTGTTTCCTTATATCAACAAATTTCTCAAAAAAGTGGTATCTTTATGTCCTCTTTTCCTCCATCTTGTTCCCCACTCCTTGTCAGTCAGGAAGAGCCTGTTCCATCCAACTGAAAGCATACTTTTGAAAGTTACAGTTAAGTTCAGTGGTCCTCAGGATTCACCCTGTTCAACTTGTGTATATCATCTGACATTGTTCACAGTCTGGTCTGTCTTTCAATTCTCCTTCCTTTGACACCCATGACATTGCATTATGTTTTCCTCCCATTTCTTTGGCCATTTCTTTTCTCTCTTTTGCTGTTTCTTGTTTATTGTCATGGTTCCTAGTTATATAAATGCAGGAATTCCCCTGGTTTCATTCTCAGCCATGGGCCATTTCTTTCCTGTGTTCTCCACTTCAGGGATCTCAAATTCTCCCATGATTCCAACCTTTCTACCCAAGTGGGTGTCTCTCAAATCTGTGTATCAGGCCTAAACATTTGGTCATGGTGCTGACACATATTTCCAATTCGTAAACATCTTCACCAGGCATTGTTCTGGTACCCCAAACTGGATGTGTTCTAACCTACTTAATTGTGCTTCTGCCTTGCTCCTGATCTCCTAGTTTATAACTGCAGTGGTTTCAGATTCACCCTCTCGTCACACCCACACACCGCTTGTCCTCAAACCTGTCAGTTTCAACCCAGCTCTATCTCTCTATGCATCTTTCCCAGTCTCTTCTCTGAACTGATGTGATGCAGAAATCCAACTGCTTGTTGCCTATAATCATGGCCTCTTCTACCACTTCCAACGATTGTCATCAGAGGCTTCATTAAAATCTACAACTTTATCATGTCTTTCTCATCATCAAGAAACTTCAGTATTTTCCTACTGCACAGAGATTTGATGTTAGAATTCAAAAAGTAACTGTATGAAATCCAGTTAATGCCTATCATTTTATGAATGAGAAAACTAAAGCTAAGAGAATGTAGGTAGCACATTGGACATTTTCTGAGTCTGCATAATGCTCCTTGAATCTCATTATTTTGCCTTAAATGTCAAAGAATGACTTTGTTTTAGATTTATTTTTACACTCTAAGCAAAAGGCAATATGGATATGTCAGCATAACATATTTTTAAGAATATCTGGCAGTTTTTTAATTGCTAATCCAATTGAGTACCCTACTGTACAGTGAAACCTACTTGGTCTTCTGCCTGAGTTGCCTCTCATGGCAAAAAGAATGACCCAGTTTCATAAAGTGAAGAGGTTAGTGGCCTCTGGCAGGGTTCTCCAAACAAACAGTGGTGCTGACAGTTCAGTGTGGTGAGGGAAGTGCAAGAGAGAGGAGAGATGAATATGCAGTCCTGTAGCCATGAAGAATAGGCTTCCACACAGACAAACCCCACCTCCAACACCCACAAATGAGAGCAGTAAGTGCTCATGAGTTCATGGTAGAAAAAAAGCACACAGGTGAATTAACATCTTTCAACTCTGCACCCAAGTGATACTCTACAATAATATTTCATTTACTTGTCCAAATCATTTTGTCCATTTGTTTTTCTTCCTCTCCCTCCCCCAGTATGACTGTTGCTGTTGTTGTTATTGTATGTGAACATTCCTATTCACAAAGATAATATGAGATTAGATTAAAGCTGGAATTTATTTTTGAATTCTCAAAATTGTACTGTCACTTCTTTGTAGTATATTTTATTTAGCAATTTACATAAATAGGCTATCTTGTTTGTCCTTCATTGTAAAACATGCACCTCAAGAACAAGTTTAGGCTGAATTATATTGGATCGTATTTAATCATTAATATTGAAACCTCAATTTCCTCATCTGTAAAATTAAGATAACTATAGTATTGACCATGTGTACTTGTGAAAATTAAATGAATGGATTTCTGTAAACATATTGTCTAGTACTTGGTCATCATTTGCTGAATTGTAGTGGTGATAATGATAATGATTAACATTAAATACATACCATGAGTATATAACTCTTATAATAAAATATTATCTGTTTAAATTACTCATATTGACCATAATACACATTTTATTAAATTATCAATTAAGACAATTTTTTTAAAACTATGTACTTAGACATTAAAGTTTATTTTAATTTAATGATGTAATTAAAACTCACTATAAAAGTTATTTAGTATATTTTGAAATCACTACTAGTATTTTAAAAAGATTTTATTTATTTACTTTTAGAGAGAGGGGAAAGGAGGGAGAAAGAGTGGGTGAGAAACATCAGTGTGTGGTTGCCTTTTGAACACCCCCTACTGGGAACCTAGGGCACAACCCAGGCATGAGCCCCAACTGGGACTCAAACCAGCAACCCTTTGGCTCACAAGTCAGCACTCAATCCACTGAGCCACACAAGCCAGGGCAATTTGTAGCCTTTTTAAAGTGCAAATTCTAATTTTTCTGAATCCTCACCTGTGAACACCGTCATAGATTTTAGAGAAAGGGGACAGGAGGGAAAAAGAGAGGAAGAGAAACATCAGTACAAGAAAGAATAATCAATTGGTTGCCTTTTGTGTGCACCCTGAGCAGGGACCCAACCTGAAACCTAGGCATGTGCCCTGAGAATTGAACCCATGACCTTTGGTTTGGGAGATGATGCCAAACCATCTGAGCCACACTGGCCAGAGTGCAGTCCATAATTTAATTTTTTTAGTAAAACAGGTAAAGCCTATTTACAATAATAGTTTTTATATTTCACAATTCTAAAAATAATTCAGGTAGGTATTAAAAATGTCTTGTTCAGGGAGAAATAAAAACTAAAGACTCATACTGTATTAATTCTAAGTGTATTTTAAACTTAATAAATGCAAACTAGCCTTCAAATCCACACTTAATTTTTGGATAGATGTTTCACAATGTCTTAAGTGTGTTGACATATTAAAATTAATACACAAGTCTTTGTGTTTTTGAAAAATGACTTTGGTTTTTAGAAAAAAATAAGTTAAATTATTCTGATTAACACTATAAATGATATATAAAAGTCAAGACCAGAGCTGAGCTGAAAGCAGTGAGAACTGTACTTGACCAGCTCACTTATTTAATGCAAGAGACACAACTAACGGAGTTACTTACGCTGCAATTAGTCCCTGCTCTCTGAAGTGTCTTCTCCTTGCTTTGGAAGGAAGCATTTACATAATCGACTTTCTTTAGTGTCAACACTGAAATATCGAATGTGAGCTCATTTATACACAAAGAAAATTATTTGTTTTTATTTTAGAACTTTATATTCTCATATTTCAAGGCAAGTAAAAAATCATCTTAAGATTTTCAAGAATGTTAGAACATAATTCACTTAGCATTGGAAAGTGAAGAAGCAAATATTTTGAAGCTTTTTGGATACTCTCTGCTTCATATTTTTTCTTCATCCCAAAATATATTTTCTACTTTCATCTGAGTCTACTCAGGAGCTAAAACTGCAGTCAAAAGTTTGAGCATCATAACTTATTGCTGAATATCGCTAAATATCTTCAGCTCTTCAGGTACAGGATTTACTAAGAGAACCCGATTTTCCAACAACCCGCATTCCCACTGGGTTCTAACTTATATTACCCTCCCTCACACAATTATGAGTAGCTGCATATGCTAAGGATGAAAAAAAGTTTAAAAAGTATTGTGAGAAAAAAAGAAGAGCAAAATCGAAAAGTAAAAATTAAAAGAAAAAGAATTGTTAGCATCGTTATCAGACCTGAGAGATAAACCAGATCCACCTGCTATCTAGACTGAGAAAATAATTTTAATGACTCAGATTGCTTGATTTTTTAATGATTTGTTCATGTAAATTATAAAGTGTTCATTTAAAAATTAAATATTGTGTTTATTGTGTTTTTATAGGTGGTGGTGGAAGTTAACAGTGAATTTCAAATTCAGGTAATGTATAGAAATTTTATTTTTTCAATTTAAAAATAAGAAAAATCATTCAAAAGTAACAACATATCCCAGCCCCCTCCAAAAAAATTCATTCTTATAAGTAAAGTTAATGTTTTGCTGAAATTAGTAGAATTTTGAAATTACCAATCTTACCAAGTAAGCATCCTTTCTGCCATTGCAATTACCCCTCCTACCAATTTTTAGTGGAACATGAATTATGAATAGAAGCTAATAGGTACCATTATTTACCCTGCCCATTCAAGGTAAGGGATTATAACACTAAAAATGGCACCATCAAGTGGCATTCAATCAAAAGGCAAAAGCGTGAATGGATCAAGTTCGCTGCAGCCTGTCGTGAAGGAGAAGACAACTCAAAGAGGAACCCAATAGCCAAGGTCAGTCTCAACTCCAAAACGTGAAGTCAAAAATTAAATGGATGAAGTTAAAGTTTCAAAACAACCTGTCTTTTAAATATTTTATGAACATATCTCACTGAGAAGTTATGATATAAAACAGAACAATACTCATTCAGGTTTGGAAAACTGAAGCCATTAGAAGGATAAATTAAGATTTTTAGGCACTCACATAGACAGTTAAACACTGACTCACCTTACTGGTGAAATTAATACACATGATCCTGTGTTACCCTAAACTCTAGATTTTTAAATTATAATGATTTAAGTAATGAATCTACCACTCAGCACATTTAGAGGAACTATTTCAATGCATGCTCTTTCTACCTCATAATCTATTAGAATTAAATTCCTGCTTTTGGTTTGTTTAAGAACATTCAAAATATACCCTCTTTTGTAACCATTTTTCTTTGTATATCTTTGTACACATGCATGCACACTCAGAAACACATGCCCACACACCGATTCACTTCTATACGAATATATATATGTATGTATGTACATTGATACACATTCAAACATAACACTTTCACATAGAGATAACCAAGAGACACCCTCATACAATAATTTGTTTCAAAAAACCATCCAGGTTTCTATAACCATTTATATAATGTGGTCTGCTTACTTTCCTGCTAAAATATTCTCTCCATTTTCAAAATTAAGAGCTTCTACACACAGTCAAACATCGTTTTCTACCTACATAAATCCACCTCAATCTTCTAAAGCACTTAAAAAATGTTTTTGAATTGCAAGATCAAAGTTAATTTATTAACAACTGCTTGACTCCTTAAAATGACAAGGAGTTCCATAGCTGACACCTAGTGCTAGCATAGAGCCTGAAAATAATATGATCATATCGTAAATGACGAGGGAATGAATGAATACATAAATAATTTAAGCAATTAGATGAGTTAGGGTGATATTTTACTCTTTTATTTTCTGGTAGAAATACATTGGATTTCTTCTATTACATTAACAGTTACCACTGAAAACGCTAGAGCTGTAACTACATCATTTGTCTAGTAAAATAATTCTCTACCCTCAGAATTTCCCCCAAAATAACGGGCACAGAACATTTAACACTTCTAAAAAAAGACAGCAATTACGTATCAAATATAACAGACTTATTTTGCATCCTGTAATATTTTCAAATGTGCTCTTTCTGCAGATTCATTCAGATTGTGCGGCCAACCAGCAAGTCACATACCACATCTCTGGAGTAGGAATTGATCAACCACCTTATGGAATCTTCGTTGTCAATCAGAAAACCGGTGAAATCAACATAACATCTATAGTTGATCGAGAAGTCACTCCATTTTTCATTGTAAGTGGGTGCAGTGTCAATATACAAGCATATGTTCAGGCCTAAATTACTTTGGCATTACCTCAAGCTCAGCTCATGCTGCACTTCGTTTCAAGAGTGTCAGTATAGGTGTTTTTGATTGTCTCTTAATTCTTGAGCAGCTGTGACCCAGAGACACACAGAGAAGGCTGAGAGGCAGATGAGTGTTTTGCTTAAGTGCCTTAGCAAAAATGCTAACCTTGGTCTGGCCTCAGTGGCAGGCTAGAGCATTTGCATGGAAGGGCAAGTACTCAACCTTTCCTTCTTTTTCTTTAATCCAGTTGAGAATGTTGGTCTCTGGTAACTCCAATGCCAAGTGATGATTCTATAGCTACTGCAGGAGCCTTCTCTGAGTGAAGGCACTTTAGGATAAAATGCACGTTGCTCAAGGTCAGCTGAGCCCAGGATGTGCCTTGGAAAGACTTAGTTCCTCTTTAACAGAATCTTACTCTATTCCTTACAGTAGCTGTGACCCAGCTTAAGTGCTCACTCTTCCAACCCTTAACTTCATTCCTGTTTTAAGCAGCTGACCTCATGCCAAATTCATGAAAAAATCTAAGTTTCTCTGCTCCAAACTCCAACAATTAATTCGCTCCATCTGCCCAGAAATGTTCTATGTTAAATCCAAAAGCAAGATGAACTTTCTGTGTTTTTAATGTATCTTGAGAGTTTCTATCGTCCATAATTACCTGGTATTCAAGAACCTTATTCTATCATCTTCGCCTTTTCATGTTTCTTCTGCCTGCTCTGTAGGTTACTTCTAACATGGTCTACACTTGTTAATACTTAAAATTAAAAATAAAGAAATAAAGAAAACCTTTTTTTCACTGTATAATTTCTTCTATTAAAACATCTTCAATCCATCCCCAAAATTACCTCCAAAAATAGCCTTGCTGCTTTCACTCATACAGCTTGTCTTTATTCTTAAGACAATTTTCATTCTTTAGTCTTCTATTCCAAATTAATATTCCTGCCTCATTTTCCATGATGTTGTCCTACAAACTCTCTTCATCAGCATGCAGCCCACTAGATCTTGTTAAAGCACAGTGCATTTTGTATGAAATATACCAAGTAGATATAATAATATACATTATATTATACTCCTGTGCACACCTAATAATAATGATAATACAAACACCCATGTAGCCACAACCTACTGAAGAGTGCTTGCTGTTTCTTTGAAGCCTCCATGTGACACTCCTTCACCACAGCCTGACCCGAATAGTCCCTATTCCTAATTTCAAACACTGAGTTTTCATTACTTTGTTTCTTGCTCACATGAATCCCTTTGCCTGGAACACCAAGCCAATTATCAGCTCCACCTATCAAAATTCTCTTTCAAGATCTACCTCAATGATTACATCCTCCTGTGATATCATGATGTTTTTGTTTTCCTTTTGTAACTGATCATGCTACCTTTTCTCAAATGGAATTTTTTTCACTTTTACCTCCACTTACTGATTTTAAGTACTGTTTGTGCTTACACTCCAGTAGGAAGTAAAGTCCTATATTTTATTTAGTTGTATAGCCCATTCTCTTTCATTTAGTAGAATGTGAATATTCTCCGTATAGTTCCTAAACAAATTAAAGATGTAATATTTTTGAATTATGTAATTATTCTTCTTTTATTTTCCAGATCTACTGCCGGGCTGTAAATGCTCAAGGCCAAGATTTAGAAAGAATTCTTGAGCTCAGAGTTAGGGTCTTGGATATAAATGACAATCCTCCCGTGTTTTCTATGTCTACATTTCTAGGACAAATAGAAGAAAACTCTAATGCAAGTAAGTAACCAACTTTATTAAGTGAATAAGCACATATTGGCTTCTAGCTATGTCTTCATCAAAACAGCCTATAGAATTAATGGTAAAGATGAAAATAGGACAGAGTATGTAGTTAAACATGCTTCTCTTTAAACCTTCCAGTTACCTGGCACTAAACTAGGGACTATACAAAACAGAACAATAATATATATTTACTGAGTACACATTATTCAGTAGAAAGTGTATATGATTTTATTTTGTTAAGCTGTTTAATTCTCTCATGAACTCAAAGAGGATAGTACTACTGTCATCCCCCTTTACAGATGTGGACTGAGGCCAAGGTCATATATCAAGAAAGGGCTATAAAATTGAGACACTGTTGGTCTGGCCTTACTATTATTTTGTTTCACCATAGCTACCTAAAAAGAAAAGCATTATATTAGAATAAGAAATGGAAAGGCAAAATAAAACATTTCTCTGTTTTCTAACTATCAGCAATATCTAGGTTCTTGGTAAAAGGTGATGTTTTGTCAATGCAAAGGTATGGAGAGGAGCTGATATATGACTATGTTAGAGAAGGAGAAAGAAAAATGGTAGAGTGCACATCATATGAACCAACTAACCCTAACACCTTGTTGAAAAAGTCATATACTGTATTATAACAAAAATGCAAACTGTCCAACCGCAATCAATTTTCCTCATATTCTAGATACGCTGGTGATGAGACTCAATGCTACTGATGCGGATGAACCCAATAATCTGAACTCGAAAATAGCCTTCAAGATCATAAGCCAGGAACCTTCTGATTCACCCATGTTTATTATCAACAGATACACTGGAGAAATTCGAACAATGAATAATTTTCTAGACAGAGAGGTAATTACTTTTTTAAAATGAGTTGTTAGTTCATGTGAATTGATTCTAAAGAGTATGTAAGAAAGAAAAAAGGAAACTATACTTTTAATTTTTATATGCATAATCTTTTCACATAATGGCATTGACATAAAAATCTCTTTCAAATGAAGATACGGGGATTCCTCACATACATTTTATAACATCATTTTTATTTTAATTTTACTTAGGATTTGCCTCAAATTAAGAAAACTATATTCTGAGAGTACACAAAATATGTTTTCAGTGTTTTGCTATTTTATCTCCCACCTTGGAGAGTCACAATGCATGAACATGGCTGATGCTCCAAGAATTTTTATAGGCTAAGCAACTTCGTCTTTCTCTAACACAGTGTATTTTAAGTTCCTTCCCTTTCTCCAATGGTCCTCATCCTTTTTTAATTTATTTCTCTTTTTTTTTTCCCTATTATTCCCCCATTATTTTCATAACTTTCTTTGATAATGAGAAAATCTTTTACTTCTTGTGTTGCACCCACTGATGGCCCACTGACTCCTTTGGGAAATGAATCACAAAAACAGAATGATGGTTAAAAATTAAGTAACATCCAGATCAGTGTTTTCATTGACAAATAAGAAAACAATTAGTGTTTGTTGTCAGATTATAATCAGCATTCCATGTTTTCTATCATAGAATGCTGGTCTCATAACTTAATGTAAAAATATCAACTTTCCATTATTATTAATATTAATAGAATATAGCTGACCTGTATGTTTTGTAGGGGTATGAATGAGGAAGTTTTATTTTCTAATTAATACTCTTATTAAATTAATTTTAATCAATACAGTTATTTGTTTTTTTTAGGATTTTATTTATTTACTCTTAGAGAGAGGGAAGGGAGGAAGAAAGAGAGAGAGAGAAACAGCAATGTGTCAGAGATACACTGATCACTTGTCTCTCACGTGCCCCCTACCCAGGACCCGGCCCGCAGTTCAGGCTTGTGCCTCGACTGGGAATCGAACATGCGAGTCTTCAGCTCACAAGCTTTCACTCAATCCACTGAGCCACAGCAGCCAGGACTCAATACAGTTATTTAAAAATGACAGTCTCCTGTTAATGATCTAAAAGTTTAGGATAAATCAGATTATATTTACAGTTCTTAATGATCCAAATGACATCAGTTTCTAGGTTACCTATATTTCCTTTTGTACTTATTTAAACACTACAATTAGAGGAAATTGACTAATTAGCTGTTCCTTAAACTTTCTTAATTAAAAAACCCAGTGAAAATTCTTTAATATCAAAAGAGTTTTATTGGTGAAGAGCTAGAAGAGAAAAGGAACTCTGCATTTGCTGGAATGCCACCAGAGCGCATATTCTTACCCCGGGGTCCCAGCAGAGACCTCTAGATGTCTCTAAGTATGAATCCTCTAAGATTACATCACAGTTTCAAATGAGAATGCAGCTGAGCATGCTTCTTGAAGAACAGTCATAGCCCTCCTAAAAATTCACTAGCTTTACTAGCTTCTAAAAATTTAAGCATCATTTAGCAGAATCAAGAAGACACATCATCAATTATTCCACTGCCACAACCTGCCACCACCACCCCAAAAGTGCAAACCATTTTTATCTCTTTATTTTTTCTACAATAAAGGCCTGGTTGTCAAAGGTATGGAATTCTTACTCCAAGAATCTTGATAAACTATGATCTCTCTCCTACTGATCATCTTGACCCACTTTACTCTTCATAAACATTTTCAAATATGAGCATAGAATAAAAATGAGGAATTTAAGAAATTTTGCTGTTATAAAATGAGGCTGGATAAATATTTTAGGGACTAGAAGTGACAACTTTCAAGTCGATTCATGAGAAGTTTATGAATTGTCAACAATCTGTATTACCCTTATCACTACCATAGATTTAAGTAATTGTGGAGCCAACATTTTAAAAGAACTTTGCATGAGACCGAATCAGGACTGTCTGAGTCAACTGTGCTGTGCTTTGTGATCTGTGTTTCAGCAATACGGCCAATATTCTCTTGCCGTGAGAGGCTCAGACCGAGATGGCGGGGCAGATGGCATGTCAGCAGAGTGTGAGTGCAGCATTAAAATCCTCGATGTCAATGACAACATCCCCTACATGGAACTGCCTTCAGTAAGTATTTGTCTTTGAAATTAATAATTTTTCACTCACCACATTCTAACATCTGTTTGAATATTCCTACTCATAGATGTATCTGTTATCCTTAGTCACATACAACCCAAATGTAGACTCATACTTTGTCCGGGATGTTTATGTAAGGCAAAGGGAGAAAATATTTGAACAATGAAAAGTCTGACTATAAATGCAGATCTTTTTTCTGAATAATGATTAACCATAAACTTTCGATATAAGCCTAGCATGGTTCTCTGATTCACATAGTTTGTATTAATTTTTTTTTCTTTCTTCTTGTTTCAGCGTTCCTTAGTAATCGATGAAAATGCTCTGTATTCAGATTTGCTCCAAATTACAGTCATTGATTTGGATGAGGAATTCTCAGCTAACTGGATGGCAGTAATTTTCTTCATCTCTGGAAATGAGGGAAATTGGTTTGCAATAGATATGAATGAAAGAACAAACGTGGGAACTTTAAAGGTTGTTAAGGTATGGTATCATTAACCTAAATATATTTTTCTCCTTATCTTTTTGCAAATGTTAATTTTAAAATAAAATGGTAAGATTTTACAAACTTGAGTGTGTGAAAAAAAATCCTGTTTTAAAATGGCATATGAAATAGAGCTTTTACATACAGAGTATTTTTGCTTATATAATTTTCTGAAAACAGGCACTGAATTCTAACTCATAACACTTGTATCTATATATGATCTACCACTGGTCATATGAATTTTAAGAATTTTTAAACATGAGAGGTATTTAATGCTAACAACAAAGTATAATCAATCATTAAGGTTTTGTTTTAGAATATTAAGAAAAACATTTTTAATCAGATTTAAGATTAGTCTTTAAAAAATGTGTCTGTGTCAACATTATGTGACAACTGTTATGCACTAAGAATATTCATCACATAAATGAAAGTTCTTTATCCCTCCAGTGTCTTTTTATAAAATTTAGTAGCTGTAACTGTAGAATCACATTCCCATCTCCTTGTGGCTGCTGACCCAACTTTCTTATGACATAAATGCACCAGAGATTCGGTCCAAGTCCCTAGAGCTCTCCTGTGCCCCCTCACACTAGTGATGCACCACATTCCCCTGCAGCAGCATTTCCTCTGAGAGATGAGGGGCAAGGTCGGGCCCCTAGGGAGCTGGGAGGGAAAGTTCCACCCTGTGCTGCAGGACCTACCCAGTCTGTGTGGATATTCGTGAAAGCTGTACATGGACTGTACGTGGTGTGCGCACTGTGGACCTTTATAGTAAAATGGAATTCCTTTCCCACTCTTTCCTTCCTTCAGAATAGTCCTCAGAAACAGACTCCTAAGGAATTCTGTCCTCCTAGCAGTGTGTGATCACTTGTTTCATGTCTTCATAAAGCGTCAGCACGTCTACAGCTTCCCTTTAGTGAGGCCATGAGCAGAGGCTTTGGGCTGCTCCTCACAGCATCCCTGCCATAGGTGATATGCCCACATAACAGATAAACGCATTGGGGTTCAGCGAGAGCACTAACCTGCTGGAGGTCTCATCACTAGTGAGTGGTAGCGCTGACACTCAAACCCACATCCCTCTGGCTATTGAGTCCATATTCTTTCCACTACACTACCTGGGATTCCATGCTGGGGAAACTGAGTCCTAAACTGTTCCAGAGAAAACATCCATGTTACTTTAGAAAATTAATCTTTCCTCACTGTCTCTACCTGTGAAACAGGAATGACTTTGATTTTTCTCCCATATATGGCATCATATATTATTTCCTTTTTTGTGAATATATACTATGTATAATATGTATTTGGGTTTCTATGTAATATATATGTATATGTGATTTTATAGCCATTCTTGGAATTGCAAATACAGCCAACATTAGAGCAAAAACTGAACATTTTTTGCTAAGTGAAGAGTTCAGTTTGTGAATAAATGGTCATCTAAGTTACTCTCTTCTGAAAATTTAGAAAAACATATTTGGCATAATGCATAGTTAGAGGATTTTGAGTAGTGCACACAGATACCATCTTTTATAATGAAAATTACTACTTGATTATTTCATAAGATGAAATAATTTTTCCAGAATATGTTGAAAAGTAAAAATTTATTTTATTATTTATATACTATATTCTAGTACTTGACTTACTGACATAAGTCACATATATATTAAAAGTAAATTTCTTCTAACTTGTTCTTTATCAATAAAACCAGTCAAATGGTGGAACCTATAATGTATCCTCCTATAATTTGTGTATATAGAACTACTTTCTGAATAACATGAAGTGATATGAGCTGACATAAACTGTCTTTGCATTACAAAATGCAGAGATTGACCGTCTTTATTAAGTTTTTAATTTGGTGGAAAATTAGGACTCCTGTCATACATTGTCAATTTTTGCAATGAAGGATCTAAGACAATTGGATTTTTTTTCTTGCTATGTATATTTTATGTGTTTGTACTGAATTAGAGATAAAGAAAGAATACATTGCATGTTTATATGTATCTATATTTAATTTAAAAAGAAGACTAAAGTTTTCTTTGCCTATTATGAAAGGATTTCTTTCCCTTCTAGAATTTTTTTTCTTCTGATAGTAAAACTCTTTCACTCTGTATTTTCTAGCCCCTAGATTATGAAGCTGTGAAGAATCTACAACTTAGCATTGGTGTTAGAAATAAAGCTGAATTTCATCAGTCCATTATGTCCCAATACAAGCTCACAGCAACTGCAATCTCAGTGACTGTGTCAAATGTAATTGAAGGCCCAGTGTTCCGTCCAGGTTCAAAAACATACGAAGTAACTAGTAAGATGGGACAAAATCATAGAGTGGGAGAATTTGTAGCTACTGATCTGGATACTGGTGGCCCTTCGACAACTGTTAGGTAAGACTGACATTTTCAACTCATTTTCATCACATATTGAATTAAGTACATATGTTCTTTTTAGAAATGTTAAGTATAAATTAAAATATTTTTCATTATTTAAAAGCCATCATTTAATAATAAAAAGTACTAACTACTGAATTATTACTTAATTTAGAGTATTTAAGAACATATAAAAATGGTGCAACATGTAAGATGTAAAAGTGTGAAGCTATTCATTGTGGAAATATTATATCTTTAGAGTTTGACACACCTGCGTTTATACATTTCGTTGACCAATTAGCTGATCACCACATATCAAGGTTATTTTCCCTGGAAGGTTGCATGGACTGATTTCCCCATTGCCTGTTTGCCCAGATTGAGTTACTCTCTTTGCTTTAATCAACACTTAGTTGGTATTGGCCTTTGATAACTTTGGTCTGAAAAATGAGGTTGATTAAAGGAAAGTCAGGTGATGTAACTTTCTTAACTTTGCATATCCAAACATTTCTCCTTGATCATAAAAATCTGTGTGACTGCGTGCACGTCTGTTTTACACAAGTGCTTGTGATCCAGCATCACAGTGGGGAAAGGCCTCACTACTGAGTTCTGAAAGGTCTCTGTCTGTGCTCTTCTCACACCACGTGAGCACTGCTGTTAGTGCTCTCATCACACTGTCCCCCCACTGCTGATAAAGTCCTCACCACCTGCAGACCTGAGTTCACTGAGGGCAGGTCACCCCCAACCCCCACCCCTGGGTCCTCTTAAAGTTCTTGTCCCTGAGTTTGGCCCAACCCCCGAGACAAAAAGTTACTAACCAGTATTTCCTTAACAAATGTAAATGAGGGGAAAAGACATGGAAGCGGAAGATGAGGAGGGGAGAAAAGAAAACAGAGAATAGGACAGCAGCACAAGGAAAGGACATGCGTAGTTCGGAATTCAAAAGAAGTTCTGTGAAGTCATTGTGTATATGGAGATGGGGAGTGGAAATAGGGAGGCCGAGCTAATGATGAAGTAACTTCTGTGGTAAGAGAATACTTTAGAATTATTAATGAGCTCAGGAAGTCCTAGGATCAGGGTCTTCCAGGATAGCACTGATGGTACCAAAGTCAAATGAAATGAGACTGCAAGTATCAAAGGGAAATTCCGACATCCAAGTTTAATAAGTGAAAACTACGTGCAGGGATCGTAACTGCTGACCCACTGTCCAGAAACATATGTTTTATAAATAAAATTTCTCTCTCTCCTGTTAGAGAGCTGACATTAATTTATACTGTTAAATTTCAAATACAGATATGTAATGGGAAATAATCCAGCCAATCTGCTTGCTGTTGATTCAAAGACGGGAGTCATTACTTTGAGAAATAAAATTACCCGGGAACAATATGAGATGCTTAACAAGAAATACGAAGGAACAATTCTGTCTATAGATGGTAAGAGATAAATTTATTTTTTTCTTTCTAAGAAGTTTTTATATATATGTATGTACTGAGAAATTAACATTTTGATCACTATATTTTGAAGTAATGCTTTTTCTGACAAAGCTTATTATACTGGGTATTATAAAATCAAATATTTATTGATATGAAAGGCAGTACAATTTAGTGGATAAGAACATGAGCTCTGGGGTGAGACTGGTTTGGTATCTCGTACCATCACTTTCTAGATATGGGGTTTTAGAGAACTTATTTAACTCTTTTATTCCTCAGTCTTCAATATGGATTTAAAGAGTTACTATATATATAAAGCATTTAGACTTTCACAAATGTTAGTTCTCATTAATGTGAATAGTTGAAGTTCTTAAATTGTGTGTATTGTAAAATTATTTTCAAGTAGGCCAGAAGTCAAACTAACTTAGCTTTATATTATCTTTAGAAAGTTGATGTAAAACTTTGTGTAAAAATTTTGGAGGAAGCATGCTTATATTATTCTTCAAAATCAATAAAATGAAGTGAGGCTGGTCCCTGAAGGAGGGGACTTCCTGAGGGTAATTCTCAGGAATACTAAGCAGTACTTGCTACTTCAGTTGTTCCTCCCTTCTTCCTCCCTCTCTTTTTCCTCTTGCCCTCTTCCTAAAAAGGGGTTGACAATTTCCACTTGCCATATGGATTAACAAACATAAAGTAGCATTCCTTTTAAGTCATTCAAAAGTTCAAAGTTTGTAGCATATTGTAATGACTTTTCCATAATCAGTCAAAATAATGTAATTTTAAAACTACACATTACAAATGGGAACGTGACTCCATCTATCAATAAACCTTATTTTGATTCAGTGATGAGATAGGCTTCAGTAATTACTCGATACTCCTTTTCTTACATCCAACATCAAGCTTAATTGGAACATGAGAGATAAACTGGAACTTAGGCTCATGAGAAGCAGAAGGTATGCCGTTTCTCATCAAAAATTATAACCTTCTGGAGATAAAAATAACAACAAACAATAACATTAGAATCAGCAGAGCTGAGATGAAAGGCATGGGATTTGCTATTATGGACTGGATTTATGCTTGTCTCTGTGATGTGCTTCCAGGGATATCTTTATTCAATAACTCTGAAACTATATATTGAATCCCAGCCAAACGTCAGCCATTGTGCCAGGTGCTAGGGTTACACCAATGGACAAAGGCTGACCACTGAACTCACATGTATATTAATATGACAGAGATAAAAATGATTATGTCAGACAAAATCAATCCTTTATTTTACCAAATTTCAATAATCTTATGAAAATCTCTAAATATAAAAGACTAAATACATATAAATATTACTATAGCATTATCTTCAATAATTAAATCTTGAGAACAATATCAGTAATAGGTAACTAGGTAGATAAACCATCCATTTTATAGGAAATTATATAGACATCAGAAACTATGTTAATGAAATGCTTTTTTATTGTTTAAAAGATTTTATTTATTCTTAGAAAAGGAGGAAAGGAGGGAGAAAGATAGGGAGAGAAACAAAAATGTGTGTTCACCTCTTGCACTCCCCCGCTGGGGACCTGGCCTGCAACCCAGGCCGGTGCCCTGACTGGGAATTGAACCAGCAACCCTTTGGTTCACAGACTGGCACTCAAATCACTTAGCCACACCAGTCAGGGCTCAAATGCTTTTTTAAACATAGAAGAATTCTTGTAATGAAAAGTGAAAAATATAAAATAGAATGAGCCACATGATCTATTAATAAAACTTAAATAATTTGTGAATTTTGGCATTATAATTAAGGCTAAAAGATAATACAGCAGAATATCAACACAGGTTTTTCTTGGGTAGTGCTACTTTGGGTCTGTTTTTGTCTTTGTTTCTGTTTGCTTCTTTATATAATTTCATGCTTTTCAATTTATAGACAATATCCAACTATATTCAACTACTTATAAAGTAAAGAAATATTCCAATAGTGTTACTAACAATGATCAGTAATGAGGGTGATGGTAATATTTCAAAGTCATTGAGAATATATACTATGCACCTGTAAATTGTCATGTCAGCACATAAATTACTGCTTCTTTTTTCTTGTACTTGGATGAACAATACTTAGCTTTATCTGACCTGAGTTGTATGTATGTAGACACGAGTAGTGCAATATGTGTATAATTTGAATAACATATCACATTTTCTTTCATAAAAGATATATTGCAATGATTTTTACAGCAAGCTTAGCTTCATAAACATGCATTGCCTAATATTTAAAAGACTCAGGGGTTCAAAATATTAAAAACAATCTATGTGGTTCAAAAGCATAAAGGTGGGAAAAGGGGAGATGTTGGTCAAAAAATACAACTTCCAGTTACTAAATAAATATGTTTTGCAGATCTAATGCACAACATTGGGATTATAAATAGCAAAACTCTACCATACACTTGAAAGAGATATCTCAAATTTTCTCACCACAAAAAAAGAAATGATAACCTTGTGATATGATGGATATATTAGCTTACACTGTTGTGGTAATAATCATACTGTAATACATAAGTGTGTCAAATTCACATTGCACACCTTAAATTTACATGGCGTTACATGTCAGTTATGACACCTCAATAATATAGGGGGAATAGTTAGCAAAAAAAGGATATTATGGAATTTATAAAAATGCTTCCACGACAACCACATGTAAATTGCAAGTGGGTTGGAGAAAAAGCTAATGTTTCATCAACATCATCCCTACACTGCAGCAAGAATTACTAGGACCACAGAGGTCTGGCCTGCTAGCACCTGTTGATGAGGAAACTTTCTGACATGGTAGATGCTTCCTTTGGAAATCTTACCTCTAAGGGAGAAAACAGTCATACCTGGAACTTTCATTAATGTGGTTTTTCTATAGTGAGCAACTACTAATCACAAATTTTTAGCTTCAGGTCCCACAGAAAATAAATAGTGCAGATGTGATGAATAAATCTCTTTTCAGGTAACTTAGGAAAAAATAGTTAGAGCAACTACACAAAAAATACAAATACAAGTAGCTTCCATTCATTTAAATAGGTGTAAAATATGACTGACTTTGTAAATCAAGGATTACAGTAATGTGTTTTTAATTTTAGTCTGAGCACTTTTCTCATTTAAAATGATCTTTTCATCATCTCTCACATGTACTACTTTTTGGTTAAGCACTGTAGAATGGCTATATGGTTCAATAACATTTAATGATCCAATTTTGCTACAAGAAAAGGACACAAATATGGATTCAAATGTATTTCTTATTCAACTTTATTGAGGTATAATTTACATTTAATGAATACATTCTTTTTAAGTGTAGAGCTTGATGAGTGTCGGCAGATGTATGCATGTATATATATAGTATATTTCCATAAACATGACCTAGAACATATTCATCACCATGAAGAGTTTCCTTGTACTTTTTTGCAGTCATTACTACCTCTCTGCTTCAGCCCCATGCACTTGCTCATTCAAATGTAGATGCCTTTTGATGTGCTGCCCTTTGTATCACATGCACTCAAAATCAGTACACTGTTTTGAAAAACTGATTGCCTAGTTGATTAGTTCATTGGTTGGTTTGATTAACTAAACAGAAAGTGTGGAGCAATTAAGTTGAAACAAATAACAAATGTCCCTACCCCTACATTTAGTCAAGGAACTAAATGTATAAAATATTTCTTCCACTTTTAAACCTTATTTCAGATGCTCTTCAATAAACTTGTACTGGTACAACTATTATGTTTTACTGAAACTTTGAAGGACAAGAAGCAAGTTAGGAATATCTGTTTGTAAAACAAAGGTGTTTCACCTGCTAATTGAAATGAAAATTTGCCCCCACTTCCAATAGTGTCACTTTCCTCTTGTATAAGTTATTGGTTGTGAGTTTGGGAATATGCTGCTTTATCGCTAAGAAATTTTGGTAGAATTGATTTACCAACTTGCTCAAAATCTGTTCATTTTGTCAGCTTACAAAAGGAAAAGAACAAACATAATTGAAGAAGAAAGACAGTAAAACAACAAAAAATACCTAGCTCTAATATAAAAAATGTGCAAAAATATAGCCTAGAAATGCTTTCACTGTGGCTTATAACACACCACTGGCCAGTATTTACTTTCTGTGGCATTTGCTGTTTATGCTTCTCAATACATGAGACAGTTTTTTCAAGAGCACTAATAGTTATAATGGTTTGATTTAAAACAGAATCATGAAGAGTGGACAATTTGGGAAGTTGCTGATAGGTAGGAACAAAGATATTGAAATAAGTATTGATTCAAAAAGAAAATAGTTTTGTATTGTCCAATAATTATTACATTAAGTCTATAAAATATATCTTCCATTTTCGAACCTTGTTTCAGATGCTCTTCAAAGAACTTGTACTGGTACCATTATAATGAACCTAGAAGGTGATGGCTGGGAAGTTAATGAATCTACTACAACAGTTACCCCCAAGTATAAAGAAGAAAGTACCATTTCAAGACAGACTGACACGTTGGATAATGGTAGAACATATCCAAGAGAACCTGTCGATGTTGTGCCCCTTTTCCCAGATAATGTGCATTTTGGTCCGGCTGGCATTGGGCTACTCATCATGGGATTCTTGGTCCTAGGCTGTAAGTACTGAAATAGCCCAATTTTTTATGTATCCCCCCAAAATAATTATGAGTTTTTGATTTTTTGACAAAATGTAGTTTACAAATTCTTATTTTGTTAATTATCAAGATATTTCTACATTGGGTGCTGGATTAATAAGATTAAAATATTGAACTGCTTGGCAGTGGAAGATAAAAACTTATTAGCATTCAATCTCATTGTTAATGGGAAGACCCACAATAGGTGGGTCAAATTGCTATTTGAGTGAAGAAGACAATGCGAAACAATTGAAACAGTCAGAAAAGCCTACATAGAGAAAGTAAATTCTCAGTTGGGTTTGAACAGAATGAGCCTGATGAACATGAAAAAGGAAACGCAATACAAGGAGAAAAAATCTAAGGGAAAATCCCCCACAGAATGAAGTGCTGGTCACTGACATGAGGGACTCCAGTGAAGAAGAACCAGGGGAAGTGCAGGGCTGCATGGTGTCAGCTGAGACTAGAAAGATAGACAGGCGCCCAACCCTGAAAAGATTTCATGCTACACTAAGACTTAATGAAAGGAGGGAGGCCGGATAGACGTAGGGTTTAACTTCAGCTTCTAAACGTGATCGTCTGAGTCTTTCACAGATTACCTAGCTTGGTGAACCTCTCTTTTGTCATCTGTTACCACACAACATTACTTTGATGATGAAATAGAAATACCACATATAGAAATATTTACGGGCACCAGAGAGACCTAGGCAAATATCTAGCCATGAGTGTAATATCCAATGGATTCTCTAAATGGTCTTCAAGATTGCCTCGGATGATGATAGACATTAGAGTGGAGATGAGCTGGCCTTACAGTCTCTGAGGAATGAGAAGGGAAGCTCTAAAGTAAGTAGGTTGATATTTGCACACTACTATTAAAGTAATATAAACTTTGCCATTTTTCTACTATAGAATCATATAACATTGGTGTCAGAGGACACCTCAGGCATTATTTACTTAAAACATACAAACAAAATATGATATCTAACAAGTCCATAGATGACATATATTTTCTATATTCATTTCTGTTAATAAATAAACAGCTATACAATAGATCAGACTAAATTTACATAATAGTAAACTGGATTTTCTCCTATTTTAAATAACATTCATCTTTTTAAATTTTGATGGAAATTAAATTTATCTAAACAAAAAATACTATGGACTTGATAGCACAAGTTAAAGTTGAGAGTATTTTTCCACAAGTGAAAATAAATTTTAAGAAACAAGATATATATATGTGTGAGGTAATGAGATTTCATTCTTATTCCTGCACAAGAAACCAAAACGACCATGGAAAGCTCTACTAAAGGAGAAAAAGGTTAAAAAAGGAAAACATTCTTATCAAAATAAAACGAAGCAAGAAAATGCTAGCCAAGTTGCAGAATGTAATATAAAGTATATGTGAAAAGCTCTCACTGGTGTGGCTCAGTGGATTGAGTGCCAGTCTGTGAATTGTAAGGTTGCAGGTTCAATTTCCGGTCAGGGCACATGCCTGGGTTGCTTGTCAGTTTCCCAGTTGGGGGTGTGCGAGAGGCAACCAACCCATGTTTCTCTCACACATTTCTCTCCTTCTCTTTCTCCTTCCCTTCCCCTCTCTCTGAAAATACATAAATAAAATCATAGAATGTATATGTATATATACATATATATTAAAAAAACATAATTCTCTAACTTGTTCCCATGTGCGAACAAATTATCAATAAAAACTTTAAAACTTGGAAATTAAATAATTTTCTTTTTTAAAATATATTTTATTTATTTATTTTTAGAGAGAGGGGGTGGGAAGGAGAAAGAGTGGGAGAGAAACATCAATGTGTGTTTGCCTCTCATGTGTCCCCTACTGGGGACCTGGCCTGCAACCCAGGCATGTGCCCTGACTGGGAATGGAACCGGCGACCCTTTGCTTCACAGGCTGGTGCTCAATCCACTGAGCTACACCAGCCAGGGCAATAATTTTCAAATTAAATTTTTACCAGGTGCTGATTCCTTCTACTGCAAAAATATATAATGTTAACTTTGAGTTTACTTTTTATACTGGTGACAACATTTAGGTAATGTAGATAATAAAAGACTTATAAATTATATATGTGCTTTAGAGTCAAATACCTCTAGATTCAAGCTATCTCTAAGCCTGGCATATTTTCATGAAAGCAAAACATTAGGAATTATTTCTCCCCCATTTTTCCCTTTCTCTTTCTCTCTCTGTCAATAAAATGTGTATATTATATTACACTGAAAAAATGACCACTAATAGTCATGCCTTGAGGCTTAACTCCACTGAGTTAAATACATTAACAATAATTGACATACAACAAATATATTTTTCTAAACACCATAGATATACCATTTCACTTGCACATTTTAAACATATTATGTGTTTAGGACTCAGAAGTAACCTTAACGTTTAAAACAGCAAACATATACAAAACAGTTACAAGTGAAAACAATGCTGACAAAGTACCCCGTCTTTTTATCCAGAGACACAACATCAAACCTCAGGTTCGAAAACATTAAAAACTGTTTGGTATATAAGAATATTTTGGAGAGGTGAGTGGAGAGAATAACAGCTTTCCCTTTGGCTTGAGAGAGTCAACAGTTTGAACATTAAACCAGAATTAGAAGCCCCTAGAGGAGTCAGAATTCAGAGGCAGGAAACTCAGAGTGGCAGGGAGCTGTGTGGGTTCTTCACTCCCTTCACCAGGCCCAGCCCAGGTTCCTGTCTAGAAAGAGCTGCTGAGGCCACTTCTGTTTCAGAAGGGCAATCATGTGATGGTGTGAGTGGTGCTTTCATCTTACTGTCTGCAGTGAATGATGATTTGTGAGATGCTCTTCCATTTTAAAGCACAAATGTCTGTATCCCAGCAGATGAATCTGCAGGCCCTGCTGGGAGTCTCAGGACAACCTCTGCCCCCACCATCAGTGGCCCTGTGAGCAGGGAGCCTGGAGGGGGCCCAGCAGCCAGGAGCTCAGCTGTCAGTGGTCAGGCAGCCCAGAGTTGACTGTGGTCACCTTTCCACCATCAAATTGATCAGAGTTGCCCTCTTTCTCTGCATTAGAATCTCACTGAAGGCTTTGCCTATGAATACGTTTGGGGCACAACACATTGTCCTCCAGGCGGGGTTGGGGTGGGGGGGCAGGTAGTGACAGGCAGGTAACAAGAAGGGTGCAGACACTTTCTCTTCTTCTCAGGAACCCAGGCTGGCCCAGCATTTCCCTCTGTCTTATTACTCTCCTCACTGCGTTCCTCCCTGCCTACCTTGCTTTCTTCTTTCCTTCCTTCCTTCCTTCCTTTTTAAAAAATTTATACATCCTTCCCTTCATATACCTATTCATTCCAAATCATTATTTAAGATCATATTATGGAAAACACCCTGGGATAGAAACTTATGTAGTTAAGAAAAATCCAGCTGGTCAATAGAAAAAGACATTGTTAAGCAGTGTAATGTTCTTTATCTGTGCGTGAGTGAGTTCAAGAAAAGGTATCTGTCTAGGGGCAGATAATAGCCTCAGAGAGGATAATGGCTTAAAGCATGAAGAAGGGGGTTACTGTTGAAATAAAAGGTCAGGCATGTGTGAAAGGAGAAAAATAAAGACAAGAACAAATCAAACCTCTGGACTGGCCTTCCCACCTTTCTTTTTCTCTCCTTTACTATTTTCCTGAGTAATGATGGGGGAAGACCCGTCTGTTTCAAAAGTATCACACTATTGCAGTCTGAATCCCATGTAACAAATGAAAATTGATTGTAATCTAGTATACTGAATCTCACATTGATTTTGATATCTCACCATTACTCAGTTTATTTTCTCACCTTCATAATAATTTTAGGACCAAATGGGGTTATAATTAGGGATTTAATTTAATCACAAAAGGCAAGTGGTTTGGTTTTAATATGGCCCTGCTGCTAATTTCAATATTCCCATCCTCTCACCAACAGTGGTCCCATTTTTGCTGATCTGCTGTGATTGTGGAGGTGCCCCCGGTGGGGGAGCCGGCTTTGAGCCTGTTCCTGAATGTTCAGAGGGAGCAATTCATTCGTGGGCAGTAGAAGGACCACAGCCCCAGCTGATGGTGAGTGCAGATCTGTAAGAAATGGACTATAGTCCACACCTAAACTCTGCCTTGCTCACATGAAACCAGATGTGCACAGATGTGGGTGGTCACCCCCAGTCTATGCCATTCTCTGTTCTGGGCAAGCCAATGGGGAAAATGGAGAGGGGTCAGAGGTGCATCAAAATTAGGTGGAAGTCTTCAGGGGAGGCTTTCTGAATGAGGTTCCTGTTTTAAATGGAATTCAACAGGTTCCTAAGTAGTATTCGTTCAGGAAATCTTAGTTAATTTGACAACTAACCCAAGGTATAACTATAGATAGAAAAGTCATTACAACGAGAAAATGTTGATTCTTGTCTTTTAGAATTTGACCACTATCCCTGTACCACAAATAGCACTGGATAATGCAAATATGGGTGAATGTATGGACACATCAGGTAATAATTTATTTTTTTAATTCCAATAACTCAAATGATTCAGAAGTAATTATGTTTTCTCTTAACATATTTCACTATTTTTCAGTTATTTTATTTGTCTTTCAATTATTTTATTTGTCTCAGCATACTCACTATTTTTCAATTATTTTATTATTTCTTTTTAAATGAATGACTCGCAAATTAAATGATAATGGAAAATCTGCAGTAAGTATTATTCTTACATGCTGAATTTTGTAAATCATCCTTAATCATTAAAGAGTACTTAATGACCTGATTAAGATGTCTATAAATAGGATAGAATAACTAAATTATAACCACAGGTGAGTATTGTTTCTTTTTATCCAAAAGAGCAAATCTTATTTACCCAAAAAATATTAATTAGAATTGAAGTACAACCCATTTAACATAAATCTGTGCTTATTTATTGATATTAAATCTACTCCCCCAAAATACTGATTAGAGTTAAAGCACAACACTATTTAATAGATCTGCTCTCATTTATTGAGACCGGAATCTACCTCCACAATTCATGAATGGTTCAAAATCACTCTGACTTCAGCTGCTATCAGGACAGAATTAAATACTGCATCCATTCTCAGCGTCACCATAAATGTTAACCTAAAGAGCTTCATCCCCCTTATCAAAATGAAAGTAAGTGGATGAAACACCATCAAAATCTTTCAAAAATCTCATCTGAGGTTGTGGGCATGTGGTCGAGTGTCTCCCTGCACGTGGGTAAAACTACCAGTGGAGCCCCCTTCACAACAGGGGTCTAGACCAACTCACAGGCCGACGCCAGGGGACAATTAGTGAATTGTAAGTGAATAACTACCACTCTCATAAAAAGAACAATTAACTTTTAAAAACTTCCTATACTTTTGAAAAGAGTTGCACCATCTTTCCTTGTTTCAAGGTAAATATTATTCTTCTCTCAGTTTTCAAGCAGCTTGTAATCATGGCTTTTCTTCTTTGAACTCTAAAATGCAAGAGGCACAGCATGTTTGTAACTTGTAGAACTGGATATTACTCAAAAGCTGGACATGCCTGTCTTTACATCTGTTTTTCCTCCTGATGTACCAATTTTTGTTGATGAGACCAACATCTCCCCTCCTCAGAAGCAGAAATTCATCCACTTATATCTCCCTATTTATTGAGATCCAGTCAGTTCTCAAGATGTCAAATCCACCAGCATGTATTCATGCCTTTATTCTCTCGTTAAATCTCAAACTTTTACCCAAACTTGAAGAAAGCACAGTGAGAGGCACTAAAGTAATAGAAGTATGGAAAACACGCTGACCCTAAAATCAAGATCTTTAAAATATTAGAGCATGAGACATCTTTCCCATGTCAACACTTCCCTCTTCGTGCCTCTCCCACAGTCCACACCATTGTTTTATCTCATGTACCTATAATACTGCAACAGACTTCTACTTGCCCCTCCCATTCAAGTGCAGATTCAAGATCCCATGCAAACCTTTACCCTGACCATGGCCATGGCTGCTTCTCTGAAAGCCATCATTCAGGGCCTTTGCTGGAGGCTCTGTGTTTCTAGTACATTGGGATATTCTCATACTGTTTACTTCAAAATAAATAAAATAAATAAATGAATAAATAAATAAAATAATCTCTAAAGCATAGGTTTTTTTACCTCTGTGTTTTTTGTAAGTCCTCTCTTCTAGTACAACTTATAACTACCAAAAATAATTAACAAGATAATTAAATGATTAGTTAATAATATTATTTTGAACTTAATATTATATTTATTATTCCTATATTTAAATTTCACCTTCATTTTTTCCTTTCTAACAAATGCATACTTAAATGAAGGAACCATCCGTTAAAGTAAGTTACTGATTTTCAGTCTATAATAACCTACATGTAGTAAATTTAATTTGATTTATACTTTCAGGGGTTTACACAAATGAATACTGTGGCAAAGAAATGCAAGATATGGGAGGAGAAGAAAGAACGACAGGATTTGAACTAGCTGATGGAATTAAAACATCAGGAGCACCTGAGACATGTCAAGAATACTCTGGAACATTAAGAAGAAATTCTATGAGGGAGTGTAGAGAAGGAGGTCTGAATATGAACTTCATGGAAAGTTACTTCTGTCAGGTAAGGGCTCCACCCCCATGCCTTCCTGTCCATCCCAGATCCACTGCTGTGCCCCAGGCTCCCACTATTTCCATACAGGTCTTTGGCAGGCATCTCCTAGCTGGGCTTCCAGCCTTGGGTCTTTATGCCTGGAGCTGCATAGTGCTGCTAAATAATACAGCTAAACTCTGAGGCCTGTTACCACCCCCCACTTAAAAACAGTCAATGACCCCTAGCTATGTTTTCTCTATGGCATGAAGTCCAACATGGCAAATAAGCTTATTCACAAACTGACCCCTGCCCTGTTAACCCCAATTACCCCTTACTATTAATTTTACTTGCCTTAGTCACACAATGCTATTGCCCTCCTTGTCTTTGCTTGTGTTGTGCCTATACTGGAATGGGTTTATCTGGTCATCACTCTCATAAACTCCTGCCAGTTTTTCAAGACATTGTTTCAAATATCATTGCCAGTGAAGTTTTATTATTAACCATATCATCCAAAATAGGATTGGTGTTTTCTTATCTGTATTTCTCTAGTACATATTCTCCTCAACTTAAAATTGGGTCATGTCCCATTAAGCCCATCATAAGATGAAAAGATATGAGTCAAAAATGCATTTAATACACCTAACCTACCCAACAGCCTAGCTTAGCCTAACCCATATCTACTGAATGCACATCACTTTTACACCATCATAAATCAAATAATTGTTAGGTTGATCCAATTGTACATTAGGGACCCTCTATTCTTTATTTATACATCCTATAAAACTATTACACCATTGCTAGAAATCTATTGGTTTATACATTTCCACACTTTTTGAACCTTCAAATACATGTTCTCCATATTATGTTGCCATAACCTAGTTCAGTTCAAGGCACACGACATACAATAAAGGTAGGTTCAAGAGCTATAGTAAAATTCTAGAATATTCTAAGAGCCAGTAAGAATCAATTTTGCCATCCTCAGGTAGAGACAGAATACTCCATGGTTATATGCCATGGGATGCTTAAGCTTTAAGGAATTTACCCTCTGATACACGTATGTCCTTCTACATCCTGGCCTAAAATGCCTAGATGCTGGCTGATATTTTGAAATAATATACAGTAAAAGCTTTTAAAATCTCAGTAGAGATTAACCAGAGGTCTGTTGCTGAAATCCATAGGAATGCTACCTATCCAGGTCCCAACAAATTAATATATTTTCATGAAAAGTACAATTCTGCCTCCCAACTTCTGCACTTACAGCTCCTTCTGCCCAGATCTTTCTATATGCCTTACTCACCATCACGTGATTCAAATCTCCAACCAAACATCACTTTTGGAGATGCCGTCCCTGACCATTCTACCTGAAAGAGCAACCCCCATCACTTTCTGTCCCTGTACCCCCCACGCACCACCTCCTGACAAAGGTGGTTCTGTATTGTCTGTCTCATCCTACTCAGATGCAAGCCCTGCCAGAAAAGGACTTTATCTAGTTTTTTCATTACCTCATTGCTAAGTTCCTAATAGAATGTATTGCAAATATTAAGGACTCAAAAACTATTTGTGAATGAAATGGTTCAATTAGTTGGTTTTCTAATAAATGTGTTTCCGATACTTAACCTGAAAGTTTGCAGCCCATTATCACAAACACCAAAGATGAACTAAAAATATACATGTCTATAGCCTTGCACTTTGAATTGAAGGAAATTCTAGTTTTAAAAGTTGTCATTGATCACCTTCAGTTCTGAATCCAAAAGTTGCATAGACCCGCAGTTCAATTTTTCTGCTGTTTGGCTGAAAGAGTCACATTGAAATAAATTTCACAGATTCACCATAGTCACTCACTGAGGAAGGGAAAGCACAATCCTGAATGAAATTAAATCACCTACTTTTTATAAATAAACCAGAAAAATATATAATTTGCTGAACTTCAAATTTAGCATTTTTAATCACCTCCTCCTAACTTGGTTACAAAATATTTCATGTGATTTTTTGTACACTTTTGTGTCCAAAGTACACTATTATAAAGTCTATCTAAAATTTTTTCTAATTCAAAACATATTGTTAGAATAACAGTTAAAATAATTTCTAAGCAATGATTTCACACAGTTACATGAGTTTTAGAACATCTCTAGTAGATGTTAGAATTTTGGTTTTTATTTTTCTTTGGTAATGTCATGTAAAAAAATAATGATAAGGGCTTCCATTACCATTAAATATGTATTCATGATTTCCTCTTCTCTTTCTTCTACCAACTTAGAAAGCGTACGCTTATGCAGATGAAGAAGAAGGACGCCCATCCAATGACTGTTTGCTCATATATGATATTGAAGGTGTAGGTTCCCCCGCTGGCTCTGTGGGCTGCTGTAGCTTCATTGGAGAAGACTTGGATGATAATTTCTTGGATAATCTGGGGCCTAAATTTAAGAAGTTGGCAGATATCACCCTGGGAAAAAGTGTTGAACCATATCCAGACCTTGATCCCTTGTGGCCACCTGAGAGCACAGGACCAATTTTCTCTCCACAGGAAACAGAGCCCCTTGCTAGTGGGCCCCCTCCCCTCTCCCCACGCTATGGCACTACCACAGTCATTTCTGAGAGCACCTACCCCTCGGGACCTGGTGTACAGCATCCTATGCCTATTCCTGATCCTCTAGGCTATGGCAATGTCACTGTGACCGAGTCTTATGCCACCTCTGGCACTCTGAAGCCCTCTGTTCACATTCATGATAACCGACATGCCTCAAATGTGCTGGTGACAGAGAGGGTGGTAGGCCCTATCTCTGGTGCTGATTTGCATGGAATGTTAGAGATGCCTGACTTGAGAGATGGCTCCAATGTTATAGTGACAGAAAGGGTAATAGCACCAAGTTCAAGTCTACCCACCACTTTGACCATCTCTGATCCTAGAGAGTCTTCAAATGTGGTAGTGACAGAAAGAGTAATTCGACCCACTTCTGGCATGATGGGCCCTTTGGCTATGCACCCAGACTTATCAAACGCCCACAACGTAATTGTGACAGAGAGGGTTGTCTCTGGCTCTGGTGTAACTGGAATTAGTGGCCCAGCTGGGATAATGGGAGGCAGTGGCACAGTCAGCAGTGGCTTCATTGGCAGTGAAGCTGGAATAAGTGGTGGTGGCATCATGCTGAGTAGTCTGGAAGGAGGCGGGGGCCTGAGTAGCAGCATGGGGAGGACAGCCACCATTGGCCACATGAGGAGCTCGTCTGACCTTCACTTTGGCCAGACCCTTGGATCTGCCTCCCCTAGCACAGCCCGAAGTCGAATCACGAAGTACAGTACAGTACAATATGCTAAGTAGCCAGGATCCCAGCACCGTTTTTCTCAGCAGTTGTGATTTAGGTTTAATTCCCACCACTGAAAAGCTAACGATGTCATTTATGATGCACAACTTGGTGCTTCGGTAGTTGTGGAGCAAGGTGAGAAAAATAGGTGAAAACAGTGCTGCTGGGCAAGAGCTCTCCATGGCATTTGTAAACGTTTTTGTTACATTAATACTAATGGAGTCATGACAGGGAACTAAAACTTGATTCAGGGTTTTCTTCACTTCTGTGTGGCCTGCAGTGCATCTCTAGCATGTGGAGGAAACAAAACCCAGTCATATAAAAGCACAGGCCTTATAATGGCAATTTACATAAATAATTTTCTTGCTCCTTTTTCATATGCCATGTAGTTCAGGCAACATTTAAAAAGAACTAAACATGCCATAGGTATTCATGTGTGTGGGACAAATTTGAAAAATGTGCTCAATGCCCTGTCAAACTTAAAAATAGCATACAGAAAAGTCCAACCACACATATTCAGACCAGGATTAACCATTAAGGAAAAAAATATCTGGTTACATATCAAAGTTCACCAGCCACCAAGCCCTCCTACCTTGGTAATTGCACTAGATAAAATAAACCTCAAAATGGGAAATGCTTTCTAGTGTCAGGGAGGAGATTCTGTAAGAGTGGCAGCAGTGTGAGAGCCATTCAGGGTACACTGGCAATGTCTGAGTCTGAAACTTGAGATAGGGCTGCAGCTACAATTTTCTCAAGTCAAGACTTGTCTGCTTCTAGTTTGTGTTCAATGGAGATGCAATAGTAATTGCATTGCCTACTGGTGAGGTTGCAGGATATCACAGTCATCTTCCCCTTTCACTGTGGCTCTGACTTGATAAAGGGAAAACCTGCCAAGTGTACTTCTCACAGTGAAGCAAGTGACAACTGACATGGTCGTCCTCACCAGCGGTAGAGGACCTTCGAAGGAAGCAGATGGGAACAGCATTGGACTTTCAGACTGTGTTTTTAGCATTACTCATTTATATTCAGCTTCATTATTTCACATCACCTAAGTTAAAATGATTTACTTAAGCTGAACTGTACGGTTAGGCTTTAGGGAAATTTTAAATGGATTGAAATACAAGTTTTTACCACATGTAAAATGTTCAATGGGGAAACTTAAAATTGTTCAGTAAGTAATATAGCATTAGTTTGAATTGAGTTTAGTACTTTTTAAAAACAACCCTCTGCTGCTATTTCAAAGGGATTAACTAAGAACTTTTAACAGAATTGATGAAATTGTATTATGAAATTATACTAGACAACCCTATTTCCTTATCCTCTCCCTTCCCAACTGAATTTTCTCACTTGCATAAATTCCACATTCCTGATTTGATTTGTCAATGCACTGTTGTCTTATACCTGCTCCATTTATAGATTCCAAATTTATATCCTATGGTATATTTTTCTAGCTTCAAATTAAGTAATGTACTTTTTATAAGATGTCATTTCTGTGGGTTTGCTATATAGTATTGCCTGATTAAAGGTCTGTAAATAGAAGCAAAGCATTCTTAGCCAGAGGTACATTTACTGTTGCATGGTAGAGGAATATCTTTCTCTTTCTAAACTATGTTATTATGAGTTTCACTAAAGTAAAACTGTATATGATCAAATCTTCTAAGAAATATTACTCCCAATTACTTAAATTTCCCAGAGTCCTACCAGATCAAAGAATATTCAACTTCCAACACTTGTCAAAGGGGACTGGGGAACAAATTATTTTACCCAGAGCTATTTTGCTCTGTTATAGCAGAAGATGTCAATATTTTCAAAGCCATAATATATATCTTATTCTAACTCTAAAATAACATCTTTAAATAACTCATCTTATTTTAACTCATAAAATTATAATGTTCTGTAGCATGCTGAAATGCAGAGGTGTAAATAAAGTCATTCACAGGAAGTCTTTCTTTTACTTCTTTCTTCATTTGGGGCCTTCATTAGTGATGGGTACTTTTTCCAGGAATAAAGTCAGAGTATTTATTGAGATATATTTTAGTATTATTATGTCCAGGAGTTCAACGAAATAACATCATTATTAATTAAATACTATTTAATTAGTTAAAGGGAGTAATATCTGACCACAAGTATCTTACTTATCATGTTTGTATGATACTGCATCAAAAGAGTTCTTGAGACTCCTGATATCTTCCAGATATGCTTTTTAGGTTGTCAATCCATTGCCAGAGTGACCTCCTTTAATAACTATTGACATTAAGATCCATAACTTACATAAAACCATGGAACATACCAGAAAAAATAGCAGAATTATTATCATTAACTTTTCTGAGGAGATCATTTCAATTAAAATTGTTTTTTGTTTTGGGTTTTTTTCTTTAGGATTGCACATTGATACTCTAAGTTTTTATTCCTATTTTTTAAAATTACCTTTAAGTCATCAACCATTTCAACAGTCATTTGAAGGCATATTATTTTTCAATGAACAACTTTTCAAGAAAATTTAATTCTTCTCTTTAGATGCTTTACTCTAATTCATAAACCTAAGGTTTTTCACACACCTAATAAAAGAAATACAAGCTATTTAAGATGTGAATAGTTATCATTCAAATCCATATTGCAAACTGAATCTCTGATCACTTTTCTCAACAAAAGAATAATAACTTAAATGTTATATATACAAAGTTTGAAACAAAGTTTAGTGTTTACAAAGCGTCTGACTTCTAAAGCAGAAGTTGGGGGCAAAAATTAATGCATTATTCATACTTATTTTATTATGTAATATCAACCAAAATACCAACTTGAGCTAATTTTATACTGAATTTTAGATGTATATGTATGCTACATGTTTTTAATTTCTATGTTGCCTGATCAAACTAAATTTGCACTGAAAAACTAACAAAATGAAAGTATGTGTTTAGAGTTACATATAGGCCTTCATCAGAACATCTGTCTTATCTTCATGTATAAAGATTTTAGCCTCATAATCTTCATTCAATGTAATGTGAGAAAATTTTAATTTTATGTCTTCAAAAGTTATATATTCTCTTCCAATGGACATTTTTAATCCTGTACAAAATTCATTTCTGGATTTATATCAACACATGAGTGCCCACTGGGCTGTTTCATATATGACACACTCAGACTTCAGTAGCAGTTTAAAGTAGGGGATGTTATTATCATTGACTAAAATGGCCACAGCTACGTGGGAAAGATATTTGAAGCCCAAAACAAAGTTTAAAAGTATTGCCATATTTTTCCATACCTATTTAATAAATCCCGACCTTGTTGAGATTTTGAGTATTGTTAGGACCTACTTAGCATTGCTCTAGATCACACCAGTCCACATAGATGATTAGTAGCCATGTGACAGAATCTGTCTTTCAGTTCCAGATTATTCAATCTGTGAGGACAAAAATATGAATCAATCAACCTGTTATCCATCAAATAATTTTAAAACAGTAATCTGTTTTCTTTCCTACAGTCTCACCATTTAGTTGTGTCAGAATTACTAAACTCTCTGTCACCAAGCTGTATGTAGTCTAACTTATCTTTCTTTTGATATTTCACAAGCACTTTTAAACTCTAACAGTCATCTTTGGTAAGGCTTCAAACAATGGCTTTTACTTCAAGTTTCAAAATAAACGTTCATGGATTATTTGGGTGCTATTTCTTGCTTGGTCATCTGTTGGCTGTTTTAAGTTGGTTTGTCATTTCCACAGAATTATATTTACAGCAGTAAAATGACTAATGTTGCTTTTATTATCTTTTTTTAAATGATAAGAGGTGTTGGATAATAGACTATAATGAAAAATTAGAGGTTCTCAAATCTAGTTGGTATTTGCAGATCATTTAAGGGAAGAATTTTTTTAAATATTCATGCTATTAAAATTTATTTTCACCTTCTATTTCCATTTTTTGTTCCTGTTCACTGAGGAGCCTTCTTTCTGGAGTGAAGCTTAGTAATGTCGGCGCACAGTCGTGAGCAGCCCCACACAGAAAACTTAATGATACGTGTTAATGATTTGCATTTTTAATTTTTATTTGATAGCTCTAAAATCTTTATGTTTTTAACTTTCCTTCTTTGCTATCCTATTTTTTAAATTTCTGTTTATACTACCAATTTATTTCTTTTAAAATAGCTTTTCTTTTTGTTTGCTTTTAAAATTACACCCTCTCATCTTCACTGGATGCATCTCTTTGCTCTCCAATGCCACTTTTTGAATTATTATCATCTTCAACTTGCACAAGACCTTACCCTTTCCAGACATATGTGATCTGCTTATAACTCCCTCCCTCTATTCTCCAAGTGCCATTAACTGACCTCTTTCTTACTGATGTCCCCACTCTTACTGAAGACTCATATTCAGGCCCAAAATCTTCTGTGACTTTTCCAATTCCTGAGGGCATTCAAAGTGACTTAAATGACCATGTGGGTGAGGCACTCAAATCCCCACATTCTTAGATCCCAGATGCCCATTTTCCCTTCTCCACCTCTCCCTGGTCATAAACTAGCATGGCAGCACCTTGGATGCCTCTGTTTCACTTCCTCCTCAGCCTTTTCTAAGTACTCCAGTTGTTGCAATTTCTCCTCTTCATCAAAACTTCCATTTGTTTGGGACTCCCACCACTTTCTCACTGTCTGTTAGTTTCACTTTCCTTCTTATCTAATCAAGCTTTATGAATCCGACTCTAGTCACTTCTTAGTGAATACCTTCAACCTCCTTGCCTTGCCATCCCACTTACATATCCCAAATCTTTCACCCTCCATCTCTGTCTACACACAAACAGCTGATTCAAGTGAGTTGACATTTTCATTTTAAATATTCAAACACAAATCATGGAGTAACATCTACTGCTTTTCCTGATAGACTTCTTTGATATATTCCTTGATAGACTTCCCATCTCACACCTAGCAGACTGAATACTATGCCATCTCTTGTTGATTCTCCAACCTCCCACTTCTCCTCTTTCCTCTCCATTCCTAGTTGGTGATCTAATCCTATTGTTTCTTGAGAAAACAAGTCATCAGTCTTGAATCCGCTCATCTTCCTTGGCCAAACCTACACATCCACCTGCATGTGCAACCATTTCCTCCCTGCACCTATTACAATAGAGTTACTGTCCTACTCACACAAAAAGACAATCCCCATTTGTGCTCAATGACTTTGTTCTTCCCCTAATAGTCTTTTTGCTATACCTGCTCTTTCTTTCCCTTTCCTTATCTCTCTGTCTCTCTCTGTCTCTGCCTCTCTCTCTTCCCACTCTGAAGCATTTCCATTAACACACTTTCTTGTACCTACTACCTCACTTTTGATTGATTCGTTTCACCAAACTTCTTAAGATTCATGCACACATGCTTTTTTTCTTTCTCATATCCCATCAGACTTTAACTCCTACCCATTAGTCCATCATAACAACCCTTGTCAAGTTCTTCTAAGACCTATACATTGCCAAATACAAGGCCCACTTTTCTGTCTTTTTTAAAATATGTTTTATTGATTGTGCGATTACAGTTGTCCCATTTACCTCCCTTCATTCCCCTCTACCCTGCACATGCTCTCTCACTCACAAACCCCCCTTTAGTTCATGTCCATGTGTCATAAGTTCTTTAGCTTCTACATTTCCCATATTCTTGCCCTCCCCCTGTCTATTTTCTACCTGTCATCTATGCTACTTATTCTCTGTACCTTTTCCCCCCTCTTTCCTCCTCCCATTCCCTTGTTGCTAACCCTCCATGTGATCTCCATTTCTGTGATTCTGTTCCTGTTCTAGTTGTTTGCTTAGTTTGTTTCTGGTTTTGTTTTAGGTGTGTTTGTTAGTAATTGTGAGTTTGCTGTCATTTTACTATGCATGTTTTTATCTTCTTTTTCTTAGATAAGTCCCTTTAACATTTCATAAAATAAGGGATTGGTGATGATGAACTCCTTCAGCTTGACCTTATCTGAGAAGCATTTTATCTGCCCTTCCATTCTAAATAAAAGCTTTGCTGGATAGAGCAATCTTGGATGTAGGTCCTTGTCTTTCATGACTTGGAGTACCTCTTTCCAGCCCCTTCTTGCCTGTAAGGTCTCTTTTGAGAAATCAGCTGACAGTCTGATGGGAACTCATTTGTGGGTGACTGTCTCTTTAGCTCTTGCTGCTTCTAGGATTCTCTCCTTCATTTCAATATTGGCTAATGTACTTATGATGTGCCTTGGTGTATTCCTCCTTGGGTCCAACTTCTTTGGGATTCTCTGAGCTTCCTGGACTTCCTAGAAGTCTATTTCCTTTGCCAGATTGGGGAAGTTCTCCTTTAATATTTGTTCGAATAACTTTTCCACTTGTTGCTCTTCCTCTTCCCCTTCTGATACCCCTATAATTTGATGTTGGAGCATTTAAAGATGTCCTGGAGGTTCCTAAGCCTCTCCTCATTGTTTTTAATTCTTTTTTCTTCATATTTTTCTATTTGGTCATTTTTTTCTTCTTTCAGTCCACTCCCTTGATTTGAGTCCCAGTTTCCTTCCCATCACTACTGGTTCCCCGTGTATTTCCCTTCATTTTACTTAGCATAGCCTTCATTTTTTCATCTAATTTGTGACCAAATTCAACCAATTCTGTGAGCATGCTGATCACCAGTGCTCTGAACTGTGCATCTGATAGGTTGGCTGTCTGTTCATCACTTAGTTGTATTTGCTGTGGAGCTTTGATCTGTTTTTTCCTTTGGGCCATTTTTTTTGACTTGTCACACCTGTTACATAGTGAGGGGCGGAGCCTTAGATGTTATCCAGGGTGGGACAGCCCACATAGCTGGGTTGTGACCCTGTATGTGGGGGTGGGGTCAGAGAGGGAACAATGGCGCTTGCTGTGCTCTCTGTTGGATCTCAGTCACTTCTGCCACTTTCCCCAAGCAAACTGGGCCTCTCTGGTGCTGATTCTCAGGTGGATGGGCTTGTATACATTCTAGGACCCTGTGG